CCATTTTTAAATATGTGTGTAGGTACTACTGTGGTTCATAAAATGTAAATTTATGTCTTAGATGGGTGCTGCATATGCTGTTTTGCCCTTACTCATGTCCTTGTGAGGAGAATAACCTCCGAGATTTAGCTGGATTCAGGCGCTCTGCCTCTGCTCGCTTGTCCCGAAGATAAACGGCCTCGGGCTTGGAGCCCCGATTCTGTGACTAAACAGTAATCACCTGTCAGCGTGAGTGCCTGTTTCCCCAGTGTAATCAATGGCACAACATCCAGCACAGAGCGCCAGGGCGACGGCGGCCAAGGGGGAAGGAGGTGGGCTCACTGGGCTTTGCTGTCCCACCAGAGGAGAAGGCTGGCTGCCAGAGAATAGTCCGGAAAGCCCCCGGCTTAAGGCGGGGAGACCGCGGAGAGGGACTCCTAGGACACAGCGGGCATCTGTAAGTGCAGGCCAGGAAGTTTTCAATCTCCAAACGCTAGGCCCTGCCAGAGGCCTGTTGTGGGGACTCACCACGAGGTCCCCCTGAATGTGACTTCCCCCAAAGGCTGCCTGGGGCCCGGCCACCAGCCACAGGCCCAGTGCTCCAAGGGAGGGTGACTGCAAGTCTGCGTGGCGGGTGCCCCAGCACCGCCTTTGTGTTTCTGCTGGGAATTTAAACTCCATGGAATTCTGCTCTAAGGAAGAGCTCTGCCCACACCTCCCTCCCCTCCTTCCCTCCAGCCTTGGAGACGCAGCAAGGAAGATGCCTGTCTTCATTAGTCTCCACGAGCAGCTCAAAACCATGCGTCCACCACAGGTAGGGTAGGCAGGAACCTGAAAGAACTCTCACTTCATGGTGGGGAGCAGGGTTTTCACCAGATGCTGGGAAATAGGAAAAGACCCTTTTGTACTGATACAGGGATGTACATGTGTGGCTGATATTGTTGTTGGTTTTTGTGACTACCTGGAGAAAAGCCAGTGCTTCCTTTTCCTTCCTGTGAAGTGCAACTCCAAGGCTGGATCTCCCGAACTTAATGTTCTTACCTGCTAAGAGCCATGCAAGTGTATTTGAGCCACCAACTTGTGAGACTAAGTTGTTTTTATAGAAGACGTAGTTCTTATTTAAAAGTCTATGTGATTTCTATCACAGAAGCACAATTTCCCCATGGCTGCCTCAGGCTCCTGCTAGTATGGTTGTTGTGTGCAAGAAAGCCAACTTCCTCAGCTATTAAAACTGCCCCCAGGGCACTTCCCTGGCCAGGGAAGTTAAGAATCCGCCTGCCAGTGCAGAAGGCACAGGTTCCATCCCTGGTCCAGGAAGATCCCACACGCCGAGGGCCAACTAAGCCTGTCCACCACGACTGCTGAGCCCACACACCCTGGAGCCCAGCTCCACAGCAAGAGAAGCCTGCAACTAGAGAAAGCCCAAGCGCAGCAACGACGACCCAGCACAAAATAAATAAATAAATAATCAGTCTAAAAATCTCACCCCAGGATAGACAAATTAGGGGTGTCGGATTAACAGATGACTATAGGGCTTCCCTCATAGCTCAGTTGGTAAAGAATCCGCCTGCAATGCAGGAGACCCTGGTTCAATTCTTGGGTCAGGAAGATCCCCTGGAGAAGGAAACAGCAACCCACTCCAGTATTCTTGCCTGGAGAATTCCCATGGACAATGGAGCCTGGCAGGCTACAGCCCATGGGGTCGCAAGACTCAGACACGACTTAGCGACTAAACCACCACCATATATAAAATAGGTAAGCGACAGGGATATACTATATCATGCAGAGAATTACACCCATTACCTTGTAATCACCTATCATGAGGTATAACCTGCCAAAATGCTGAATCACTCTGCTGTTCACCTGAAACTGACATAATCTTATAAATCAACTATACTTTGATTAAAAAAAAAAGAAACCTCACCCCCAGCTGATCACAGTGTAGTAGCCAGCTTGGTACAAAGGAAAATTGGTAGAGAAAAATGTTCATAATATGCGCTGTCTCTTAGTCTCCTCCATTTCAATTGCTTTGAGAGAGAATAAGTACATGACATGCTGCTTGAGATAGGGTTAAGCCTATTTCCTCTGTTAAAAATGAGTTTAAGCTCCTCTCACCCTCCGGTCAATCAGTAAGGAAAGAGTTGACAGCCCTGCCTACAATGACGATTGTTCTTAGAGTCCTTTGAAAGACCTGGTTTTATGGCCCGTCACGCTGAAGTTCCAGGGTGATTCACGACAAGGCTCTGTTGTGAGAGTAGCTTTTTCTGGTGGGAGACCCAAGGGTGTAAGAATGGGGACCGCTGCCTCGGGGTTGTGTCGTGAGAGGGAGAGCAAGGCTGCAGAAGAGGAGGGAGAGGTGCCCACGTGACACCGCCTTCCCTTGTTGAGCTGTCCCCTCGCCCATCCTTCCAATCCTGCAAGGATAAGCTTCTTAATATACACGCTGAGAGATCTATTATCCTGCCCTAGTTCTTTTTGAAAAGTATCAGGTGAGCTGGCAGAAGGGAAATAATGAGGGGTAAACTATTTTCTTTTATATTTTTTTAATGTATTTTTATTTATTTGGCTGTACCGGGTCTTAGATGCAGCATGCAAACTCTTAGTTGCAGCATGTGGAATCTAGTTCCCCGACTAGGAATTGAACCTGGTCCCCATGCATTGGGAACATGGAGTCTTAGCCATAAGACCATCAGGGAAGTCTCTGAGGGGTAAATCTTCTGAAGAGGACTTGAAGATCTGCCCATTCTTAGAGTAGGACCAGGCCCTGTCATAACGCCCCATGGCCTTGGGCCTTGTCCCAGGTGATACGGTTCGGATCTTACAAGACCACCTTGATTTCGATGCAGCACTAAACGCAGATCCACCAGAGACGAGCATCTTGGCTGAGCTGCAGAGACTGCTGGGGAGAGGCCCAGAGACGCTGACTTGCAGAGCTCCTGCTGTCCTGACACTTACCTGCAAGTCATTCTCCTCCCAGCCCATTCCAGGCAGGTCCCTGAAGGAGAAGGTTATGGGTTTAGAAGTGAGGGACCGAATTTCCTGACAGTCTGTAAAACCTTCTGGCCACCCCTCCACCTGCTATTCACTGATTCAGCAAACAAGCATTGAGGACGTCCCTGCCATATGCCAAGCCCTGTGCTGGATTCTGGGGGATAGCTTCTGCCCTCATGAAAACTGTAGTCTAGGAGAAGGAAATGACAACCCACTCCAGTATTCTTGCCTGGAAAAGTCCATGGACAGAGGAGCCTGGCGGGCTGCAGTCCATGGGGTTACATGACTGAGCATGTGTGCACGAGGGTGGAGGGAGATGGGTTGGTAGCAATAAAGTGGTAGAACTAAAAAAAAGAAAGAAAACTGTAGTCTAGAAAGGGAGCAGATGATAAATCAGGAAACAAATAATGAACAATACACTGACAGACTGTGGTCAGTGCCATGAAGGAAATAAACAGGATAAATAAACGACCTACAAAGAGACGAGGAGGGGTCATTCTATAGGGGAAAGACTTCTCTGCACCAGAGACATGTGAGCTGAGACCTCAGGGAGATGAGGAGTGGAGGGAGGGCATCCTAGGCAGAGAGGACGCAAAGATGCAGAAGAGCCTCGGCATGCTCAGGAGCAGAGAGACTGTGGCCAGAGAGGAGGGAGAATTGTTTGGGGGAGTTCAGAGAGGAAGCCGGAACTAGCTTATGCAGGGCCTTGAGGCCACGGTCAGAGTTTGGATTTTGTTCTGAGAGCAAGACAAGCCCCTTGCTGACAGCGTTGTGCAGGAGCGATAATGTAATTAAAGATCACAATGTGCTCACTGCAGTTGAAAACTGTGAGGCGTGTGTATATGTGCTGTTACAGGAAGAGTCACAAGAGACCCTACCCTACGTGGGGAAAAATCCCAAGGAACAGAATACAGTATAAAATATGCCGCTGATTTTTTTAAAAAGAGAAGATGTATATGTATATATAGGCTTGCCTGGGTATAAAATATAACCACACTAAAGATACACAAGAAAAGAAAAAGAAGATCCAAGTTTGAGATGAACTTTTGGGAAGAGAACTTCTAACAGTGTATTTCAAATTGTAGGTCACAACTCAGGAGAGGTTCTGAAATTACCTTAGTGAAGTCATAGATAGCACTTAAAATATCAACCTACATCTTGCGTAGTAAGGAGAGCATTTTGTGAATGTTGTTTTAATTATGTGTGTATATACATAACACATGTACACGTGTATGTGACATATACACATATTCATGTACATATGCATACATGTGTTGGCTTGCAGTATAAAATGTTCTAAACTAAGTGTTATAGTTGAAAATGTTTGAAAAATACATCTTAAGGATTTTCATGGTGGAAAAGTTGAGAAACGTGACTTAGTGATTTCTCACTAAGTTTTCTTCTGTCTTAGTTTCTTCATCAGGCTTCTCTTCCAGATAACCCTCTTCAAATTAAAAAGAAAAAAGTCAAAACAAAAAAAAAAAAAAGAAAAAAGATACCCAAGAAGCTGGTAAGGGGTTGCTCCTGGGGTTGGGAACTGTAGCACAGGGTGAGTGACGTCCAAGGGAGACTTACTCTTCATAGTATATGCTTTGGTATGGTTGAATATCTTACTGTGTGCCTGCATTATTTATTCAGTTAAAAAAAAAAAAGTTTGTCTAAATGGTGGTCACCCTGGCCGCCGTGTGGAGTGAGGGAGAGCCCAGAAGCAGAGGACCAGCTAGAAGGCTCTGGCCGGGTCCCCAGTGAGAGACGGTGATGGCTTCATCTGTGGGGTTGGTGATGGGGATGGAGACAAGCTAGACTCGGCATGTTCCACCCAACAGTCTCAAGGAAAGCTGTGTGCATTTGAGGAAGGGACTGGGCCTACCTGACTCTGTCTGCCTTCTCTGACATCTTTGTGGAATGAAGGGTTCTTGAGCTCCTTCCAGGTGCTAAAAGCTTCAGAATTCCCAAGAATGTTGAATCCATCACAACGTGGAGAACACTGTTATGGACATGTATCCCTTTCACATCCTCACGCAACTGTCACTTGTGACCTTTAATGACCATCAAAACACAGTTACACTCCGTTTCTCAGTGGAGCTTGCTTTCTTTGCAGAGAGATGCCAAAGGCCAATACCTGTTTGACCTGCTCTGCCACCACCTGAATCTACTGGAGAAAGACTATTTTGGGATCCGCTTTGTGGACCCTGATAAGCAGCGGGTAAGTCCATATTCAAAGCATGGATGGGGGAGAGGGTCAGTCGGTAAGCTTGAGGCCTTGTCATTCATGTTCAGAGCTTAGCCTCAGGAATCAGGGGAGCAACTGGACCCTGCAGTTGGGTGTCATCTCTTCAGATCATGTTGTGAGACCTGGAACACCCTGCAGCAGAGCTCCCCTGGTCCATCGATTGTCAGACACCGAAATGGCAACCTGGAGAGCTGAAGTGGTTGTTGTTCAGTTGTTCATTCGTGTCCGACTCTTTGCAACCCCTTGGACTGCAGTACACCAGGCTTCCCTGTTCTTCACTATCTCCCGGAGTTTGCTCAAACTCACGTCCATTGAGTCAATGATCATCCAACCATCTTTTTTTTTTTAATTTAATTATTCATTTATTTGGCTGAGCCAGGTCTTAGTTGTAGCACATGGGATCTTTAACCGCAGCATGTGATTTCTTAGTTACAGCATGCAGGATCTAGTTCCCTGACCAGGGATTGAACCCAGGCCCCCTGCACTGGGAGTCTGGAGCCTTAGCCACTGGACCACCAGGGAAGTCCCCATCCAACCATCTTGTCCTCTGTTGACTCTTCTCCTCTTGCCCTCAGTCCTTCCCAGCTTCAGGGTCTTTTCCAGTGAGTCAGCGCTTTGCATCACGGGGCCAAAGTATTGAAGCTTCAGCTTTAGCATCAGTCCTTCCAGGGAATATTCAGGGCTCATTTCCTTTAGGATTGACTGATTTGATCTTCTTGCTATCCAAGGGACTCTCAGGAGTCTTCTCCAGCACCTCAGTTTGAAAGCATCAATTCTTTGGCGTCCAGCCTTCTTTATGGTCCAGCTGTCACATCCATACACGACAAATGGAAAAACCATAGCTCTGACTATACAGACCTTTGTCAGCAAAATGACATCTCTGCTTTTTAATATGCATGAGAGCTGAAGAGATTTGCCCAAAGCTGCCCCGTTAGAGGCAGAGTGGCTGGGCTGGTGTGGTAGCCCCAGGGCCCAGGGCACAGGCTGAGGCTGTCCTGCCCCTTCCCTGGTAAATGGGCACACTCGCCTTGGTCTGGTTAGGAGGTGCCTCACCTGAGTGCCACAGCAACCCTCTCCGGGCGGGACAGAGATGTAGCCTAACTGATATAGGCTTTTTGGCCCTTGCAAATCCTGCAGTTCTTCTTCACCTTCCAAAGACAGTGGTGTGTGAAGAAAAAAGGGTAAAATGTATCCTGTTCAAGGGTGAAGTGTGTCCTGTCCATTGTTTTTCACTTAGAATGTGTTTGAGGATAATAGAGTATGTTGAGATTACAGAGATTTAAAGCCAAAGGAGACAGAGAAAAATAAGGAAAAGGAGAAATAAACTTTGATGGAGTGGCTGCCGTGTGCCAGGCTCCATGCTGGGCACACACCTAGACCTTTGAGCCGATGGATGTTGAGCACTGAGGTGTTATGCATGAAGCTGAGAGCTTCACATAAGTTATTGCATCCTTCCCATGAATGAGATGCGTACCGGCAGTTGACCATCCACTCTCCAGACAAGTGAACAGTCTCCCACAGGTTGCCTCACTTGCCCAAGGCAATTGACAAAGCCTGTCTCCTGCTTGGACCTGCCTGATGCCAGAGCCTGTGTGGTTTCTGGGATTCCCTGCTAAATTCCTGCCCTACAACCTCTAACGTGACCTGATTCTGTGCCTTTGTTGAGGGTTTAAGCAGAGCAAGGAGGCTTGCAAGGGTCCTTGAGCATTGTGAGGAAACGGACCAGTAGAGAACTGTCCTTCTAGATCTACTGATCATGTTCGAGCTGGAGGAGGTGGGCTCCCCCGCTCCCTTAGACCTCTTTCCCTGAGCACCAGGGAGGCAGAACCTGGCCCTCACATCCATGATGTCACTTCCTGCTCTGCGGGGGTCTCTGCGGGATCTGGGATTCCTCTGGCCACGCTTGGAGGAGCTGCCCTCACTCCCCGTCCCCTGTTGTGCCTCAGGCCCTGGGCTCATCCTGATCTCAGCCTGTCCTTCAAGGCCCCCGAATCTGAAGACTACCACACGGGTCCACTCACGCAAATACGGTGGAAGCTCCCGTCTCTGAACCTTCTTTTTACTCTTCTCCTAACCCCCCCTCCCCAAGCCAGTGTTATGAATTTGCTAGTGATTCTGGGGCCCGGATTTAGCCAGACAGCTGCAAAAGGTCACCCTGGCCCTCACCATATTTTGAGGGATGCTCTCAAGATTTTTCTACCAGACCTTGAAGTCTCTTAGACAAGCTTTCCACTGCCTGCCCACCCCTCTGAGTCTCCTCTAGCCTCACTTCTTTCAGGAGTCTCACTCCAGTACAAACTCTTCTCTCCACCTATTGCCAAGAGGAATAGCCTCTTGTCATTCAGCCTCTCTGCCTTCTGCTGGTAATGGATCTGTCATTGCACTTAGTTGTGTTGTTGTTGTGTCAGTCACTCAGTTGTGTCCGACTCTTTGCTACCCCCTGGTAGTCCACCAGGCTCCTCTGTCCATGGAATTCTCCAGGCACGAATACTGGAGTGGATTGCCATGCCCTCCTCCAGGGGATCTTCCTGACACAGGGATCGAACGCAGGACTCCTGCACTGCAGGCGGATTCTTTACCATCTGGGCCACCGGGTCAGCCCACAGTCTATCTACCTTTGTTTATTTTAATCTATGGGTCCAGTGCCCTGGGCATTCTGTCTTCTGAGCCCCAGACATGTGCTGTGTTCATCTCACTGTCCACAATCTCGGTGTGCTCTGCACCGGCCAGCCTCCTCCACCTGCCCAGGCACGGTCTGGAACCCCAGTCATTTCCGTGCAATTTCATCCCATGCCTTTCCTTCCCTGGGAAGCCACGCTGCGGTGGGCCGTGTAATGTGAGAAGGACCTCTTAACCACATTGAGTGGCTATAATGAGTTGCCAGCCCCGTGGGAACTCAGATCAGAGGGAAGCAAGAGAGCCTAGTGTCAGCTCAGATTATCCACGTGGAGCTGATGGGAGAGCTGGCTCTTAGTGGGTCCATTAACTGCACGAACTGCGGCCCAGCCCAGAAGGTGAGATCTGGGCACCAAGGGAGGCCAGGATGTGTCTGCATGGCCCCGGCTGCTCTCCTGCCAGAGAGAGGACTCTGCCAAGATGCTCACCGGGACTGAGCGAAAGTCGCCAGAAAAGAGAGGTGAGGACTAGCTCCTCCATCCATCTAACAGTTGAACGTTGAATGCCGAGCTGGTCACCAGTGACACAGTGGGAAACAGGCAGAGTTTCCTGCCCTCCCAGAGCTTGTGGTCAGTGCTTTTAAGCTCCTTCCAGATAATCAAGCCCCGAATATCAGCTCTTCCAGCTCTCTGCAAATTTTCAAGTTTCCTGATTAGCACAAAAGCAGAAAACATCAATAATGCATTTTGTAAGGCATCCATGTAGAAGTGGGAAACTGATATAGACCCATCTCCTTGCTTTCTCACCCAAACATAAGTACCGTGGGGGGAAGAAAAATGTGTTGCTGCTGTGTCCAGCCTCTGTGAAAATCCAGGGAAAACAGGATACTACATTAGTTGTGGTTGGGTATCTTACAAGACTTAAATTTTAAACATCCCTGGATGCCAAGGAATTCTGAGTATGTATTCCCTCACACGAGGGCTGGCAATGCGTTGCTCAAACAAAAACGAAACACACACCAATCTCTGCCTTCTCACCATTTATGAAATTCCACCTGCCAGTGCTTTTGAGAGCTGCTCCCAATAGCCTCTGTGTGTCATCACTTCCCCACAACCCCACCACATCACACAGACACACACAACCCATTAAAGGGAGCCGTTCGCTACCCAAGCCAGGTGGAGTTCTGTCCCCAGCACACATCCGAGCATTCACTGCTGCCCATCAGTACACCAGAAACATGGCTCAGAACTCTGGCGCCCCATCTTGGAAGGCAACATTGCCAGGGAGCCCCAGAAATGGCATCTGAAGCTGGAACTCTTCCCCCCTTCACAGCTGGTTCCGTGGGGAGCTTATTTCAGAAGATCCTATCACTCTCTACTCTCCAAACTTACATATCACAGGCTCCTGAGCCGCTTTCACCCTGGGCTACAATCTGTCTAGCTATTTAAATCGAATACCGCAAGATATATTTGCCACTGCTTCTCATTAGGGTTTTCTTGGTCTGTGTTCTCTGTTTCAGCATTGGTTGGAGTTTACAAAGTCTGTGGTGAAGCAGTTGAGATGTAAGTACTGTCCATGAAAAGATGGAAGCCTCACCCCCAGGGAGGGCGGGAGGAAACCTCTCCCTTGTAGTGTGTCTTGGGAACCTTCCTCTGTTCTGAGCGGAAGTGGGCCCTAAACATGAGAGGATCTTCAGAGTCCTGTGCATCCAGTGGGGCAGGGAGTCCCGTCGTCTTCCGGGGAGGGTCTTTGCTAATGGACACCTCTTTCCCTCTGCAGCCCAGCCTCCGTTCACCATGTGTTTCCGTGTGAAGTTTTACCCTGCAGACCCTGTGGCCCTGAAAGAAGAAATAACCAGGTAAGGCTGGTTATTACATCCCTCAGCCTCCAAGACCTGTTGGGAAGCATAGGAAAGAGGTGCTATAACTTCCTAGGTCCTCTGTTTGGAAAGCTCCTAACTCAGCTAGACAAGAATTCTTCCTAAATATAGCCTTACTTCTGCGTTTCACTTCCGCATGCTCTCTTTGCTCATCTCCTCAGTAGAACTGCAACAAATTAAGGTTCTTTCCTTCAAGAAGTGTGAATACTTCATCTTAATCTGGTCATCTGCAAAGGTAACTGGAATAATGAATTACTCAAAAGCATTTTTTTCTCTCACCTTTGATGTGGCCACCAGGGATGTTTTGGGAGAGGGCTGTGTTGCTGCTTATTGGGGGGCTTGAAATAGACGCCAGCAGCCTAAATGGCAAAGCAAGAAACTGAAAAACAAGCCGGGAAACACTGAAGATTTTAAATTCAAGTGGGTGACATCCAGGGTGCTGATGGCCCAGGCTCATCATAAACTCTTCATTATGGGGATCATGTTGCGGAGAAGGCAGGCAGCTGCATGGCAGGAACCATGTCCCGTCTAGCACCACTTGAGGATGAGAAAAAAACCTCTGTGCCCATGCCATGCTACAAGAGGTTCAGTGAACAGGAGAGACACCGCTTCCTCGAGGGCTTGGTACATCTGAGCCAAATTCACTCTGAAAGTCTTGCCTCAAAGGTTCAGGCACTCTCTGAACTGGGACTCTTAATTTTCATATTAGAAAGATCTGGTTTTGACATTAGCAAAACCTTGACGTTTCCCTGTAAAGGGTAGAGCCCTCGGTAAAGATGTGATGCCAGGAAGTCCTCGAGCCAAGAAGGAGACGGCTCCGCCAGCTGGCTCTAACCCCTCCCCTAAAGTCTTAGAGACAACAGGGACTTTACAAGTGGTCCCCTGCAGGAGGCGTGGGTTCGATCCCTGGCCGGGGAACTAAGATCCCACGTGCAGAGCAGTGCAGCAAAAAACAAAACCAAAAAATCTTAGAGATGGCAAAGACTGGACGAGGCCGTTGTCAGTGCAGAGACTGCTGGTCCTCTAAGGCCTTGAGACCTTTTTCTAAACCCTGAACCCGCCCAGCCTAAAGCACTGAGGACAGTGCCTTGTGCAGTTAGAACCAGATCTCGTGCCCCTGAACTGGGCACCTGCAGACTGCAGGCCCTGCTCATCCACACGGAAGTGGGCGTGCTCATCCATATTCAGGAGCAAGCCTGTAGCGTTAGGCAGGGGAGTGAAAGGAGAACCACGGTGTTTAACCACTTAAGCAGAGAAGAGTTTTGGCAAAGCACTGGCCTGCCCTGCCCAGGGGGCACTAGTGGTAAAGAACCTGCCTGCCAAGGCAGGGGACGCAAGAGTGTTCGATCCCGGGGTTGGGAAGATCCCTCTGGAGGAGGGAATGGCAACCCCTCAAGTATTCTTACCTGGAGAATCCCATGGGCAGAGTGGCCTGGCGGGCTACAGTCCATGGGGTCAGACACAGCTGAAGTGCCTGCGCACGCCCTGCTCATGACTTCCAGAGTGTTTGCCGTAGCTCTCCCCTCCCCCTTCCCTCACCTCCCTCCTTCCCCCCTTCTCTCTGGAAAGAGGTGAGGAGGCCAGGGCCAACCCTGAAGACCACGCTCCTGTCCACGTGTCAGGGCACGTTTAACACATCTTTGTTGAGAGCCCAACTCCCCACCTCCTAACACCCAGCATCAGGATCACCTCGTCCACACCTCCCTGGACTATCGGAGAGGATGAGAGGGATTGGTCTAACAACCCAGAGGGCTGCCCACGAGAGCACGGCAGACGAGGCCTTCCGATTTGATTGAAGGACAAAAATACACAGTTCTCTCGGCCGTTAGGAGGAGAGCTTAACCATAGACTCTTCTAAAGCAAGTGTCACTGCATAATACTGATGTGCCCCCCTCCAAAGGCAGCAGAGACCTGGGGGCTCAGATCGTGTTCTGTTACTTCTGTGTGGCCTTGAGCATAAAATCCTTAACTTCTCTGACCTTCAGGTTCCCTATTTATAAAATGAGGATGGCAATAGTACCTCACAGCTTTTTCGGGAGGATTAACCACTACACGGGGTCTTGTACTTCTTAATGCTCCCCCAGGGAGCCTGGCATTGAGCCAAGGCTCACTGTTCACTGCCAGGTCCGTCACATGGCCTGTGGACCCCAGGGGCTCTGCACAGGCCACAAGTTCTGGCTTTGCTCCCTTGTTGATGTGATAATCCCCACCCCTCTTCCGTCCCAGCTAGTGTCCTGACACTTGAGCAGCTGAGGCCTGAGAAAGCCAGGGTCAGGCTTCTCTCCAAGTCAGCAGACTTTAAAGACGATGGCCAGAGTGTGAACTCCACCCCACTCCACACACATGTATGCCCACCGTCCTCCACAGGGGCCCCCAGCCTCCAGGATCTAATGCCTGATGATCTGAGGTGGAGCTCAGGTAATAATAATAGAAGTAAAGTGCATAAGAAAGGTGATAGCTTGAATCATCCAGAAGCCATCACCCCCCACCTTCCCTGGTCTATGGAAAAATTGTCTTTCATGAAACCAGTTCCTGCTGCCAAAAAGGTTGGGGACCAACGCTCTACTGTTTTCTCCCTGCTCTCCACCTCAGCGGCCCCCCTTCCCTCGGGCACATTTTTTCCAGGCGTTGCCAGGAGTGTGGCTCTTAGGGCGCCTGGGTCTGCTTTGGAGTCTGTGTCCTGCTCCCTGAGGCGTTCTTTGGAGGCCTGGGCTTAGCTGCATCTAAGTGGGTGCCTGCCCTCGCCTCATTCAATGCCCACAGTTCACTCCTGGCTTAGAGCCCTGCACCCCACCTTCCTGCCAGACTAATTTAGCTGTCATTGTGTTTCTTCCAGGCAATATTGGTCCTAAATTTCACCGCCGTCTTGGCTGTCCCCATAAAGCCAGGCTGAGAGGAGGGATGAAGTAGGGAGTAAAGAACTGTGCTTCAATTTATCTCTTGGATTCTTCCCAGATGATAAATTTAGTTGCCAAATCCTGATTAATCTCTTTTGTCATTTTTTAAAGTAATAAATAGATTTTCTTGTCTGAGCTAGAGACAAGGCAGAGAAAATGGGGATTAGGCACCAGATTTAGCTTTTAACAACGGGCTGCAGGTGTTCGAACTGGTTGAAAGATCAAGCGATAGAAGGAAACTGAGTGCCAATTGGGCCCCACCCTCCAAGGAAGCAAACAGCCCCGACACATGTTTTAAACAGGTGCTCAAAAAATGTTAATAGATTTTTTTTTAGGCCATTTAAAAAAAAATGTTAATAAAATGTATAGGTAATTTATTCCAACAGCGAATATCACTGGAGCTTTGCTTAGGCTAAGATGGGTTGGCAAACTTTTTCCGGAAAAGGCCAGATAGTAAGTATTTTAGGCTTTGTGGGCCATATGGTCCCTGTCACAACTACTCTGTTCTGCCATTGTCATGCAAAACCAGCCATAGACAACACATACATGAATGAGCATGGCTGTGTTCCAATCAAATGTTGTTTCATCTCACTGGGGACCCTGGTGGCAGGCTTAGTTTGCCAGTCCTGGGCGAAGGAATTAAGAAGACCTGAGTTCAAATCCCAGATCGTTCTTTAGCTGGATATGTGACAAAGCAAGCAGCACTGCCTCTGATCATTCCCTCTCCTCGTGTATGAGACAGGGATTACACACAGTAACCACCTCATCGAGTTGCTGTGAGGATTAAATGAAAGAGTGCATGTTAAACGGCACACAGCATATCTAAAGGATGACGGAGGAAAACCTGAGTAAACCACTGGAATGTAAGCTCCATAGAAGGAGGACTCTGTTTCTCTGCTGTATTCCCAGCCGCTGTGGCTGGGCCTGGTACAGGCGTGGGCTCCGAACTGGATGGGTGGGTGGGAGGGAGGGAGGGAGGGAGAAGAGGCATAGGATGTATCAGCTCTCTGAAAGTGGAAGTGAAGTTGCTCAGTCGTGTCCGACTCTTTGACCCCACGGACTGTAGCCCACCAGGCTCCTCTGTCCACGATATTTTCCAGGCAAGAATACTGGAGTGGGTTGCCATTTCCTTCTCCAGGGGATCTTCCCAAGCCAGGGAGCAAACCCAAGTCCCTGCATTGCAGGCCGACGCCTTATGGTCTGAGCCACCACGGAAGTCACAGGCTCTCTAGAAGAATGTTAAAGGTAATGAAACATGAATCTCTAATTCCAAGGAGCCCGCAGTCTAGTATTGGGGAGGAAGACATACTAAACTTGATCACAGTCAGGGAAAAGGAGGGCAGAAAACAGAGGAAGCCAGGGGCAGAGAGGAAGACAGGGCCAAAGGGTCTTCTGGAAGAAACTCTTCAGAGGCCACCAGTGCTTTCCAGAGTTCAGACCCTCTAATTGTGGGAATATCTCTGGATTCATCCCTACTCTCTGATGTCAGAAATCACAATGCCAATGCTAGTACCTTGGACGTGCGTGTTCCAGAAACACTTGAGTTTTCCTCTGTCATCTGTTAGGCTCTCGCACCATCTGCCTTTGCACGGTCCTCCATCCATTTAGGACAGCCTGGCATCTAAACAAAATTGGAGGTGAGGTAAAGCCTCTTTGAAGCAAAAAGGAGAGAGGCAGAGTTCAACCAAGAACGTGTGCTAAAGAGCAAGCCTTTTTGTCTTAAACCTGATCTAAAGCTGATTGCTCTTTTTTTCCAGTGAGAATTTCTCTCTGATGACGAGGATTTGCCCTGACTTCATTTAGGACCTTTCTCTCCCTAACCGTAGCTCACTGAATTAACCGCAGGGGTAGAAAAAGTATCAGGTAGAAAAAGCTTCTGTTTCCTCAGCTCTAAAATGTGGGAATTAGGCTCTGTGACTCCTCCTCTGAGGTTCCGAGCCTGGGTACCCCAGCCTGCCCGCTCGTCGTGAAGAGCTGGTCTGGGCAGCCCAGCGGGCTGACCCCTCACCTAGCAGCACAGCAACCCTGAGGACAGAGCCCCCGGCAACGAGACGGTCTTCCTTAGGCCCTTGTGTGGCGGGGGAGAACATGTCATGGCATCTTGGGGATAGGCGTAAGGATGCTATGAGTCATGTGAGATGGATTTTCATGACCGACCACACTGAGTCATTGGTTACTTTCTCAAATGAACAAAACACCAAGCTTGATGGAAGCCGCTGGGGCAGAAAAGGAAGGGGGACCCCCCTGGGTAACTCCATCCCATGGAGCCATCATTTGCTTCTTTCATGAGCTTGTCTCTTCTCATCCTCTGAAGACTGCGGTGTGCTTCTTTAGGATGCTGACGTGCCCCTCCCTTGTCCCTCCCGTCCTGTGATCGCACCATCACTGGACCGTATTCCCACGGCCTGCCCCTTGACCTCCCTGTAGCTGTTCTACCTCCAGAAGGCTGAAGGAAGCCCACCCTGCAGTGGAAAGCCTCGTTTCCTCTCCAGCTCACCCGAGGCCCCTGTCTTGCACCGATTGTGGTTCTCGCTGTGAGGAGGGGTGTATTCCCCTTAGGGAGCAAATCAGAAGCTCTGGAGAAGGCTTTTCAAACCCAAACTCACATGCTCCCCACCCCGGGGGATGTTCTCCTCACCACCACATTGAGGATCGCTGCCCAGGGCCTCTGAAACCTCTCCTTCAGTCCAGTATGTGCTGTCCCCGAATGCTGGACCCAGACAAGCAGAGGGGTGTGGGCAGAGTGATGTGTGAACTCAGGTTCAGGAAGTGATCCACGAGCAGGAGGCCAAAGGCTTGCTGCCACGTCCTCCCAAAGCCTGTGGCAGGTGGGGGCTGGAGGGGCGAGAGGAAGAGAAGGCCCAGCCCCTCCCTTCCACACATCTTGTGACATTCCACCATGGGAAGCAGAGTGTAGACAAACTGGATTTGTCTGACTCATGTCTGACTCTTTGCGACCCCATGGACTGCAGCACGCCAGCCTTCCTGGTCCTTCAGTATCTCCCGGAGTTTGCTCACACTCATGTCCATTGAGTCGGTGATGCCATCCAACCATCTCATCTTCCATCACCCCCTTCTCCTCCTACCCTCAATCTTTCCCAGCATCAAGGTCTTTTCCAGTGAGTCAGCTCTTTACATCAGGTGGCGAAAATATTGGAGCTTCAGCATCACTCTTTCCAATGAATATTCAAGGTTGATTTGCTAGATTCAGTTTAAAAAATTACTATTTACTGCATGACGTAATTTTCCTTCAGTTTTCCTTGGCAAATACTGGGTCGATTGGGGATATGGTCGGTGGGAAGAGGAGGGGAATTCTTATTAACTTCCACACTACAGTAGTCACTTTCCCTTTGGTTTGAGGAGGGTGATCCATCCTAATGTGGTTAGAAGGATGCTTTTGAATTTCCTAGGGACAGTGCTTCATAGGTTTTAATCTATGTCCAGATCACCTGGGGATCTCATTAAACTGATTGATTAGGTCTCACATGTGCTTGATTCTCCGTTTCCAACAAGCTCCCAACTGCTGCTGATACCTCTGTGAGATGGGCTACACTTTGAGTAGCAGGGCTTGGAAGAGAATGACGATTACTCCGTTTCTATTTAATTACTTGAATCACCAAGCCCCGGGCTCTGAGTCACCTATTGGTGACCCCCCTCACCCTAGAAGTTGTGGTCTGCTTTCTTTTGAGCATTTTCAAATGATCCAGTGGGCATGGAATTCTCTGTGTTATTCTTCAGCCTGAAAACAGAAGCAATGGAAACCTCAAGTTGTCCAGGAAGAGCCTAATTTCTTTTTGGTTCGAGCTAATGAAATTTAAGGGAATTTTACTCTATTCCCAGGGCTTCCCTTGTGGCTCAGCTGGTCCCTAGTTGGAAAGATCCCCTGGAGAAGGGAAGGGCTACCTACTCCAGTATTCTGACCTGGAGAATTTCATGGACTGAATAGTCCATGGGGTCGCAGAGGGTTGGACCCAACGGAGTGAGTTTCACTTTTCACTATATTCCCATTACTCCTGTAGGGGATGCTGTAGTTATCCAGGACTGTTTAACAAAATGCCACAAAACTTAGCTTAAAATCACAGGTATTTCTCATCTCTGAGTATCTGTGGGTCAGGGATTCAGGGGCATTTTAGCTAGGGGGCTCCAGCTCAGGGTCTCTCTTGGGGTTGAAGCCAAGAGATAGGCCAGGCCTGTGGTCATCTGAAGTCTTGACTGATTCACTTCCACCATGGTGTACTCACATAGCCGTTGGCAGAAAGCTTCAGTTCACTGCTAGCTGTTGGCAGAAGGCCTCAGTTCCTCACCACATGGACCTTTCGGTAGGACTGCCTAAGTGTCCTCGAGCAGAATGAGTGATCCAGGAGAAAGAGACGATGAGGGGGAAGCTGTAGGGATGTTGTGACCTGGTCTCAGATGTCAGGCATTATCACTTCTGCTTTATTCTGCTTGTTTGAAGCAAGCTGCCAAGTCCAACCCACACTCAGATGGAGCAAATTAAGTTCTACCTCTGGAAATGTGGAGTATCAGGGAATTTCTGGACTTTTTTTTGTTTTTTGCCTCACCGCATAGCTTGTTGGATCTTAGTTCCCCAACCAGGGATTGAACCCACACCCTTAGCAGTAAAAGCATGGAGTCCTAACCACTGGACCACCAGGGACTTCCGTGTGGACATGTTTTAAACCACCACAGATGCCCCCTGGCCAAAGAACTGCTGTGGTGGGTGACTCACTTAAAGGCTTGATACCCCTGGCTTCTGCTTTTCTCAGGGGATCTGTGATGTAATGAACATCAGAGACTCCACTCCTTGCAGAGATCTTTCCAAATGGAGCGTCAACAATTCTGTGGTCACAGGGTCCACCCAGCCACTTGTGAGACTACAAAGCAGCCATGGCATAGTGCCGAGAGGGAGGAATAACGTGGTGATGAAGAGCCGACCTCGGTCTTGAACTTGAATCCTGGCTCTGCCACCTTCCAGTTATGTGCCCGTGAGAAAATCACTGAAGCCTCAGTTTACCTTATAAAAGGGGACAATAACAGTATCTGTTCTCAGAGTGGTATGTGCAAATTAGCTGAGAGGCTGCAGTAAAGTGTATAATCCCTGGACTGGCAGATGGTAAGTGCTCAATACACATCAGCTACCATGCATTGGTCTTGAGAGTCGGCCTCTTCCACCTGATGTGAGAGCTCCCCGTGGTTGAAGAAATACTAGCCACAGGTTTCTGTCCATCCCTTACCAGTGCCTCTTCCTACACCTTATTCAGATTCTGAGAGATCTGGTTGACCTCTGCCAATAACGAGGGCTGTTCCACATAAGGACAGGTCCACTGGCAAGCAGAGGCAGATCCCTCCCATGGGCCAATTCCTTCACCACATTTCTGCTTGTTTATTGGTAACTTCCTTACCTGTCTACCTACCTGCACTGGGTCTTAGTTGCAGCACACAGGATCTTCAATAATCGTTCGTTGTGGCATACGGGATCTTCAATTGCAGCACATGGGATCTAGTGCCCGACCAGGGACCGAACCCGGGCCTCCTACATGAGAAGCGCCAAGACTTAGCCACTGAATCACCAAGGAAGTCCCCTGCTTCTTAGGAGACGTCAGCAAGGGTCCGAGGAAGAGGGAGTCTGCGTCAGCCCCTCTCTCGTGACACAGGTTGCTTTGCCAGCGCTGAGTGACTGGGGTTGGCTCCTTCCAGAGCCCAGCACTGGGTGCAGTGCTTTTAACCAGGAAAGACCATTTCTGTTCTGAGCTGCAGAAGGAAACTGACAGGTTATTTGGAATTGAACTTCAAAATCAGTTCAGGGCAAAGTGCTTGAAAGAGTCTAGTCCTCAGGGATATGAAAAATGTATTTGTTCTGGGCATGTTTTGAGATTTTTGTTTTAAGGTAGTAAAAGTGTCCTGACAGAGATTCTGATAGGCTGATATTACATATTTATGTCTTTAAAGCAATCAAAGAAATCCTTTATAGTTCATTCTCTGTTTTCTCTCCAGGTATTTAGTCTTCCTGCAGATCAAAAGGGATCTCTACCACGGCCGCCTCCTCTGTAAAACATCAGACGCTGCCTTGTTAGCAGCTTATATCCTTCAAGGTAATGACTTTTGACGGGATAAATTTGCTTTTCATGCTAAGTACTGATTACATTATTTCAGTTACCACAGATGACTACCTCTTGGATATAAACAGTATCTAACTTGAAATGGAGTCCAAGTTAAAGGACTTTGCCTGGACTCCCTTGATCCAAAAAGCTCTGACCACTCAGCCTCAAGTTGTCTGTACCTCAAGCCTTTCTGGCAGCCCCTTCAAGCCATTCAGACTCTGTTTGGTGGGGGTGGTGGGGGTAGGGGGCGTGTTTCCCTGCACCCTTGGTTGATAAAGTTACTAAGCCTCTGGAAAGTAATCCAAATCTGTTTTTGTTTTGTTTTGTTTCCTGTCCTTCTGTGCAAATCTCAAAGATGTGAAGCGTCTTGGGATTCTGGTGTTGGTTGCAGAGACTTCTCCATTCAGAGTGCTCAAAGAGAGTGAAAATGTTTCCAAGTTACAAACCCATTTTCTATACACAAATAAGAGTTGGGGCTGTACCCAGCCAATACCCAGACTGGCTTTTCTTTTTTTTTTTTTTTTGCAAAACAGAGGGAAAGGTGTGCACTCTTCATACATCATCCCTTCTCCTTTCATGAGATGCAGGAGATTCCTAAGTGCCACTTCCTGGACTTCTCTTAGTCCGTCAGCCTGAGACTGTCACTGGGTTATTTTGGATCATAACACTAAAATCGTGGAGTTTCTACCAAAGAAACTGAACTCATAATCAGAAATCTGTGAACTCCAGGAAGCTACTTTGTGAATAGAACCTAAAAAAAAAAAAATGCTTGCCAATAAGAAACTAAAGTTCTTCCGGCAAGAAAAATGTCACAGCTGCGTTATGAATGTAAAAGTCATTCTGTTGCAACTTTGACTTCTGAGACGCCTGTTTTAAAAATCTACCTAAGTAGGAAGTCTGGAAGGTGCTTGCCAACTTTAAGGTACCCAAAGAGATCCCTTTTGTTTTTAAAGGAAAACCTGGTCCCAACTAAGTGAAATTGTAAACTCTAGTCTTTTCTTTAGTTTTACCCTGACAGCCATATTGAAATTTTTTTGTTTGTTTTAAAGAAGTCACTGATATCCAACATTGATGTTTCCCACTGGGAGCTTTCTAAGTAAAATTATAATAAATGACCTGATGGCTCAAGGTCATTTCAGACATTAAGCCCCAGGAAACATTTAGTCTCTAAACGTTGCTAAATGATAGAAATTCCCAAGTAATTTGGAAGATACTATCAGGAGACTAGTGCCACAGAACAATACTCAGTTGTGAAAAAAGGGCACATTTTTTTCCTTAATATTTACTCCTCACTCAAGACTTCTCACCTGCACTGGCTGTGGTTCTCACTAGGGAAGAACAGACAACCACACAACGGCCGAACTGTTCAACATCCTTCCTCCTAACGTACACACAGCGTTCCCTGTGGAATGCTCCATGTGGAGAAGGCTGGGTTCTGACCTGGAGATACACTGTGAGCAGTAGTGTGGGCCCACTGACCCCCCCAGAGTTCACAGATCTGAGGTCTCAGCAGTTGGGGGATGGACTCTAAATTTTCAGGAGCAGGAAGCTCCCCTCCCCCACAGGGAACTGAGAAGTCAGCCTGGGGACCCGATGCTCCTGAACCCCGTGGCACTCTCCGCTTACAGCCAGTCTTCCACTCTGCAGGCTTCTGCAAGGGGCCTGCACCTGGCCAGCCCTCAGTGACTAGTTACTCAGATGTATTCACTTGATCTGATTTGGACAAGAGTTGAGTCCTGAGTCAACTTGGGTCATGACTCAGTTGGGTCATGCTTCAGTCATCATTTGGCCGTGTCCCTGCTAAAATCCTCAAAATGAGATTTAGACTTCGGATGTGGCCGAGGCCCAGAAGGTTCTGATCTCCTGATCCGGCTCACAGTTTCCTTCGCTGCCACAGAGAGCTTCACTCCCAGTCACGCTCCTCGTGGCTGAATGGATGTGGGCGTGGTGCGGGGGTCTGCTGTTTCACAGCAGTTTTACACGTGGTGGCCTCAGAACACAGGCTCGGCTCCACACTCTCCACGTGGCCCTGAAACCAACACAGTCAATGTGCACGTGAGGGAAAACGAAGCTGGGCCTGCTCCCGAGCACCTGCCCTCTGCCCCCCCACCCCCAGTCGTGCTCAGGATCCCTGTTCTTGGCAAATCTGGTGCAGACTCTGGCTTTCGCTGTGCGTGTTAGCCTCCTGTTGTGCTGCCAGTGACAATTTACCTGTCTCCACAATTGTCTTCCTCTGCTTTCCTTTTGCAAGCGGAGATTGGGGATTATGACCCAGGAAAACACCCCGAAGGCTACAGCTCCAAGTTCCAGTTTTTCCCTAAACATTCAGAGAAGCTGGAAAGGAAGATCGCTGAGATTCACAAGACAGAGCTCAGGTGCGTGTCCCTCGGCTCAGGCCAGGCCACCGTCTCCCCCACAGCCTGTGCCCGCCACGCCGGCTCCAGTAGACCCAGCCCTCCTCGCTCCAGGAGGTAACGGTGTTCCATTCTCGGTGATCCACTGATGGTACAACCCTAAGGCCCCCTCTCCAAGAACAGTGGTGCAGGCTGAGGCTTAAAGGCAAGAGAGATGCTATATTGTAAGGAAAATGGAGAAGGATTTGCCTCTGAAAGGTATTTGCTTCACTAAGATAAATGAAGAGACGGGGCGGGGCAGGGGGAGCCAGTAGGGGGGTGTGGACCAGAAGCATGAACTGGGGGAAAGGAAAACATAAAAGAAATACCAAAAGAGAACAGAGAGAAGAGAGGATCGGTTAAGAAAACGGGCCCACCTCCACCCCCCGGTCTGTGACTCTGGGTCAGCCGATAGGACCGAGCAGGGCCAGATGCTCTGGTTGCCCGGAGATTCCTGGTTCGGGGGGTGTGACTTTAACACTGCCTCCCTCAACCCCACACCACTGTACCCAGGGAAGGAGAGGAGAAGCAGCTAGAAGCAGGAGGTAACTGTCCTCAGGTTGTCCTAGCTCACCCAGAATATGCCCAAGTCCATAAAATAGTATTAATGCATCCTTTCACCCATATGAAATAACGTTTTCTACAAAGGCTGATTTTTATTTAAAAAGAAAAAAGCAACAAAAGGGTGTTTAGGCTCTACTTTTTATGGCATGCTGGAGTAGGCTCCAAACTGGTTAACTATGAAGAAAAAATTTACATTCAACACAGCATATTAATATAGTACAATTTTTAAAAATCTTCTAACATATTTTTGTAACTACATTTCTGGGGAAGACAGTGCCCAACAGGAGGGGGGGGGGGAAATATTCCTAATGATATTAAGCTTAAACTAGTTCCTAACTGATGACCCCCCCCAAAAAAAAAACCAAAAATATCCTTCACCTGAACTCAAAGATTTTACCTAGAAATATGTCCCCAAAGCCTCCTTATCCTTATAAACAGACCGCTTGCCCGCTGTGTATGGCCGGATTGGACCCCACCCGGCCTAGAGGAATGGAGACCCCTGTGGAGGTGGAATCCCAGCCCCTCCCACGGCTCCTCCCATCAGTCTTAGCGAATAGCGGCCCCTTGTGGTAAAAGTCAGAATAGACACAGATGATGACGGCTCATGGCTCATTCAAAGGAGAGATCGGGGTTTGCTGGAACTGCCCGGAGGCGCTGCCAGGAAGGTTTTAGGAGAAGTCAGAGCAGTGGGGACAGTTCTGCAGAAACCTAACAGAAGTCAGGGTGATCCCCAAGGAAATGATGCCCATCTGGAGGGCCCCAGAGGGCTGGGCCGACTCCAGGGGTGAATGGAGCCCACGGAGCCCTGCAGCCTCCAGACAGGGAACAGAGCCTCCCTGGAAGGGGTGTGGGTGCTCAGTGGCCTCCGGGGCCTGGCTTTCTACCTGCTGCGCCAGCGTTTTCCCAACACCTTCCCCGTGTCCCTGGTGCGCTGGTGGAGGTACATGTCCGCAGTCCACAGAGCCCTCACTGTTCACACAGGCTCAGCCTCATCTTCATCACGTAAAACTGGTGTTTCCTCTCTCCGGCTCTGAGATCCTTGAGGGCCCAGGCTGTGCATTATGTTCTGTGGTGTTTCACACCTCGCCACCCAAAGGCTGCTGAGGTGTTGATGGATTGCTGCCTCCCCGGAAAGACAGGAGCGGGAATCCGGGGCTGCTGCTCCTTGGGCGGGCTTGTCTTCCCGCCCTGCCAGAGGACTTGAGGCAGATGATGACCTTAGAGAGTTCCAGTCCTGTCCAGCAGCCGTGGCAGGTGTTGACTGCACAAACTGCCCGCCCCCTCCTGACCCCGAAGCCCACCCCACATCAGTGGAAGGACGTCAGCTAGCCAGGGCGCTGGACACTGAGAGCCCGTGTGACCCAGCCTGCCCCGGTCCTGTGCGGAGACCGTCCACGCCCCTGCTGAGGAGCCAGCAGGAGGGGGTCGATGCTCAAGGCTGCTGCTTCAGAGGGCTTGGTGCCAGCACTGGTTTCTTCCTTTTTCTGTTTGTTTCCTCTTCATAGTCCTCACCCTGTGGGCGGGCAGAGCTATGGTGGAGTCTGGGGAGCTAGCAGTGTCTCTCACTGCATCTCTTTTCCTTCCAGTCCCGTGTTCCCTTCTGGTAAAGGAAGACAGTTAGGCAACAAGATACACAGGTCCTGTCGTAGTATCTCAGTCTAGATCAGATGGCCTGCAGGCAGCCTACAGGTGTAGTTTTTTCTGCCCCCATTATATTTAAAACTGGGAAATGCCACATCAAAATCAGTATGTCTGAATTTTCTTTAAAAATCACACCTAGCAACGCTGGGCCCTGCTTTCCAACACTACCATCTTGGAGCTGGACAGCAGCTTCCCTCATTAGATGGGGCAGCATTCCCAGTTTGCCATAGTCCCCACAACTCCCTATGGTGTTACACTCAGCCCATGTATTCATCACACGGCCTGCCTCACTCTGAAAACATCTGAGGGTTTGACCCTGGAATACGGTCTGTGAAGTTGGTCCTAGGACAGAGCAGGGAGCACACCCCATGGGAAAAAATAAGCGTGAGAGACCCTGGGCACTTCTTAATTGAATTCATCTCAGGGGAACCTATAGGAACAGGAAATCCTGAATCGCTTCGTTTTCTTTATTCCAGTGGTCAAACACCAGCAACTTCAGAGCTGAACTTTTTAAGGAAAGCACAGACACTGGAGACATACGGAGTGGACCCCCACCCGTGTAAGGTAAGGCACTCCCGTGGCTGGAGACAGCACTGATCTTGCCCCCTGCCCACCAGAGGATGACAGGCAGGGAGGGACCTCATGTCTGCACCCCTCCGCCCCTTCATATTGGGATGATTGGCTTCATTAGTGACAGAGGCCAGAGAAAACATCTCATGGTGAAAACTCTGGATTCCACGCTGCGGAATCTTGTGCCACATCAGAGCTGAAGCATACAGGCACAGTCCATCTAGATAACAAATCCGAAACCAGGGCCCGCCTTTGGCAGCCGTGGGTAATTTGGTGGAACCGAGGAGAGGCGGAATGTGGGAGCCCCCACCCATCCTTAGGGAATGATCAGAGGCAGCTCAGCGCACGGCCCACCCTTCCCTGACCCGTAATCTAGTTTCTGGCCAGGAGTGGGTTTTATTGACTGTAGAGCTGCAGTGGAGTTGCACTTAATTCCATTATGTGTCTGTGAGGGCGGGACGGGGACCAGCCCAGGAGGCTCTGCCCGGAGAAACCCTCTGTAATTACTCACATGCGTCTGGCACTTGGGAGATGAGCTCGCGCAGCCGTGGACACCGAGGAGAGCGGTGGAGACCATGGCCCTCTCTCCCTGTCTGTCTGTGGCTGGATCGCCGCAGGTCATCTCATTCCAGCTCTGACGCTTCTGGTCTCTGCCTCAGTGCTCGGGATCTGTGCCTCTTTCTTTCCACCACCAGAGAGACCCCAGTAAAACTGACTCCTAACATTGACCTCTCGTTCCTAAAAAGTGAGGAGCAGCATAGGCTTCCAGCGAGAAAGAACAGAACAGAAACCGAAGAAGCCAGAATTACTTTTCTCGTGGTGGCCCCTTGGTGAGGAGATGCTCTTGCATAGGATTAAATGCCGAAACTTCAGTTAACTTTGAGAACGTTCTGGCACTCAGAAACCTGGGCACCCTCCCAGCTCCACAGTTCCTTGTCCACCAGCACAGTCTACTGACAGATAACCCGTGTTCTTGAGGGCCAGTGCTGTCAGAAAATACATTCATGCTGGTTTATACCAAAAAAAGTGACATGCGTATGTGCAAATGAATTAGCAAAGCTTCCTGAATAACGCCTTCTGCACCACCAGCGTAGTTTAACCTGAGTCGGTTGCTCAGCTACCAAGGGCGGAGGGCTGCAAAGGACCAGAGAGAGCTTTGGGGTCAACCGGCCTTGGCTTTAGTGCTGGCCTCCTCCTCACGGGGGCCTTCAGGGCTTCTCTGAGCCTCCCTAGCCTTGTCCGGGTGAAAGCCCTCAGCAGATACCCCTGAGTCACTTCAGGACCTTAGGAGACACCGCTGCCTTCTTTTCTTCTCCGCCATCCTGTGCATGGCTGAATTTGTTCTGCATCTTCTCACAAGACTTTCAGGACTGAGCGATTCCTGGCCAAGAAACAAAAGCAGCATCATCCCGTTTCCCAATGGATTCAAATGAAAACTGGTAATAAAATCAGGTATAACTGCAGGAGAAGACACTGGAGAAGAAACCAAGCTGGGTCTTTCAGGAGCCTCGCACATGAAGTGGCACATGTTTAGGCTGCATCAAGGCCACGTGCATCTTATCATTATCACTTTGAGAGCATCCGTACTGTCTGACCTGCTGGGTGTGTTTTATTGAGAAAATGATTTTTCTCTGTGTCAAGTGTTTCTGCACTAGAGCTTTTGGCTTAGTAATAAACACATGAGACCTTTTGTTGGGGGAAAAAAAAGATGTAGCTGCCTAAAGATGAACATGGTCCACAGAAGATGCCAGGTCACCTCTGCATTTGACCCACATCTGTTCGGTCCCTTTGAGGAGAGGAGGGTCGCTGGGCAGGGCTGTCACCTGGTGGCATGTAGCCTGGGCATGACAACTGAGTGAAATGGGTGAAGATTCTCTCCTGTTGTCTCGGGAGATCTGGAAGCTAAGGGGCAGCCTGCTTGGTGTCCAGCCCAAATCCACACACACCCTGGGGCTGTGGGGCTCCTGGATCAGCCCTGTCTTTGAGCCTTCCACCTTCAGACACAGAGGTGAAGAGGCTGCAGGAAGGAACCAGCGTTCATACCAGGCACTGCACGAGGCCCAATCCCATGTATCACATCATTTCATCCCCACAGCACCAACTCCGAGAAGGAGGGAGGAAGAAGAGGCTTGTGGCATACCTTCCCGGGCAGGCCCACTGGAATCCTTTCACATTATTTTCTCATTTAGTCCTCATGCCAGCACTGGGATGTGGATATTATTCTTCCTGATTTATAGGCAAGAAGATGAAGGTTCCAGCAGGCCACAGCGCGCAAGGCCCCGAGTGGCAGAGCAGGACTATGAACTAAGGTCCCTTCCTGTTGTGCATCTCTAAGGAGCAGAAGCACCCAGGAAACTTCCTTGAGGAGAAGGTGGGAGCAGTCGTCTCGCTGGGCTTCCACTCCCTTGTTCCTGGGCTGCATACTTCTTGCTGGCGCAGGGCCCTGCTGCAGGCCCCACGGCTCATCTCCTTGGGCTCCAGCTCAGGATCTCCTCAGCCCTCCTGGGCAAGAACAGTCTGGGAGCCTTTACTCTTGCCACTAAGTAGAGTCACTTTGGTGATAGGCTACCAAGCACTCGCTTTAATGTTGCTACAAGGGGAGCCGAAGTAAGCTGGAGCGCTCAGTGTAATAAATACTGATGATTTCTATTAACAGAGAGGCAATTACTGGGCCCTGGGAATCTGGGGCATGCAGCCCTAGGGAGGCCAGAAGAAGAAGAATCGTTTCGATAATTAAATGAGAGCAGAACAAGGCTTCGGCTGGGCTCTGTGCTCCTGGACTGATTAAGAAGCTGCTGTTCTTCCTGTCCATGCTGATGGTTTCTTTCTGCCCAGCGTGTCCTTGCCTGGCCCTGGGACGAGGAAGAGGGGATCCTACCAACTCTGGGTGGAACAGCCAGAGGGTTCCAGTAGCTAGCTGTCTTACACCAATACATGAACCCTGAATTCAGAAGCTATCCTGAGCTCTCTGCCTTTCCCAGCTTCTGGCAGAAGCCCCCAACAGACCAAGCCTACAGCTGCTGGAGGAGAAAAATGGAGCAAAGAGCTGACGGCCCAGGCTTGTGCCTGCCCCGCAGCCTGACACCTCTCCAACATCAGGGGACACCATCTTGCTCCTTCCACGGAGCCTGAGCCTGGTGCTTTGCCCTGGTCTCCAGACTGTGGCCCCCTGCCCTGCCGAGGTTCACGGACTGGTCAAACCCATCACATGAGCCCCTCCTTATCGTGAGTCTTGAAGGTGCCATTTATTGAGAGCTGGCACATGCCAGGCATGAACACACAGTGTCTCATTTCATCTTTACAACTCTGCTAAGAAGACATTCTTCTCTTTAAGATAAGAACACTGAGCTTTGAGGGACTAACATGTCCAGAGTTACTGGCAGGGATGGTACCGGGACTCCAAGCTTCGATGTGTCCATGTTGTGCTCTTCCAGTTGTCGTTCATGATCTTCCACCTGGAGAGATGGCATTTATTTAGGAACAAAGTGGGACTCACAGCCACTTCTGGTCAAGAGAGGACAAAAAGGCCTATGAGACTTTTGAAATCATCATAGGAAAATGTAACAAATTGACGAGGTGGTTTTATGCCTGTTCTGTACAGACCAAGAAAAAAGCTGACTAAAGCAAGATCTTGATGAGATCAACCATACAAATGCAAGGTAGTGCCATTTCCTTGCTGCTAAAGTGGGATCATTTACTTTCATAACCCAGCTGTGTAGGCTCCTCTGTAAGTAAAGCTGCCCCCTATCTTGACATATCGCCCCCCACCCTGGACCTCAGAGAAGCAGAACAAGAGGGATCAGTGCTGACTCGCCTCACCCTCAGGTTGGCCCCTCTTGGCTACCATGCAGAGAATGTTAGGTTTACTATCAGAATGAAAAACTCGACTAAAGTCACTTAAGTGGCAAGTTTCTGCCAAGGTTTGCATTTCTGAGCTCTCATGGGTGGATGCCACGCCTCTTCGAGGGTGCTGCCTGCTCTCCTTATCACCACTGTACCTTCTTGTGGCCTTGTTTTTTGTTTGTTTAGACCTTTTTTTTTTTTTTTTTGGACATGCCTCATGGCTTAGCGGAGGACCTTAGTCCCCCAACCAGGAATCAAACCCATGCCTCCTGCAGTGGAAGTGCAGAGTCTTAACCACTGAACCACCAGGAAAGTCCCATGACCATGTTTAAGTATGTTGAAACTGGGTGACTCTCATGATTGACTTAGTGTGAAGGTCCCCCAGCTCCAAGCTCTTTCAGGAATGGGCATCACTGTCCGGAAGAGCATGTGCAATCTTCTTTACTAAGGTTTTGTTTGTTTGTTGAAGAATAATAGAGGCTTCATCCACCCACACTGAATTAGTTTTAGTCGGGTCCAGAGGAAGGACTGTCTGACCTTGAGTGGCATAACAACTGAGAATGCTGTGTTCCTGACCCAGTCACCCCCAGGATGTCCTCTGGGGTGGGAGGTGGCAGACAGAGCCTATTTCAATTGTATTCAGAGGTGGGTCTGGGCAAAGGTGGCCAGGTGTCCCCATTTCCAAGAACCTGTCAGGGATGATTTCCAAAAATCCTTTTCTGGGCAGAATGATCATCTCAGGGTGAACAGTTGATGACTGATGGATGCAGGTTAGGTCTCATGGTGGGTTCTATATGAACACGTGAATGACTGCAAATCCATCCCCTCCCCAAGAAAAACACCATTGGCATTGTCCTGGCAGTATGTCATTTAGGCCATCTTCCTAAAATCAGACAGAAATAATATTTCTCTTTTCCTTTTTTAATAATTTTTTAAAATGTTATTTGGCTGTGCTAGGTCTTAGCTGCGGCATGTGGGATCTTTAATCTTTGCTGCAGTGTGCAGGATCTTTAGTTGTGTTTGGTTACAGCGTGTGAACTCTTAGATACGGCATGTGAGCTCTAGTTTCCTGACCAGGGATGGAACCTGGGCCTTTGCACTGGGAGTGAGAAGTCTTAGCCACTGAACCACCAGGAAGTCCTGAAAGTAGTATTTCTTGAAGTATATATGGTGGTCCTCATCTTACAAATGAGGAAACTGAGGCCCAGAGGAGCAAGGAGGTTACAGAGCAAATAAGAAGCATTGCTGGGGTCCTAAACCAGGACTGAAGCTTCTTCCACAGGGATGAGAAGCAGGAAGGATACAGAGCAGGGCTGTTGATAACTGCTGTGTGGCTGGCAAGACCTGGGTGTTTATGCCACTTCCCAGATCACTAATGGCTCAGTCCTGTGGGTGCTGATTGTGTCAGGATGGAGGGGGACAGGGAGGAAAGATGGCTGAGATGGGAGACTGAGGATCAGGGCGCGGCTGTCTGTGTGACTTCTTTCCTTGTCCTCATTCCTTCTCTTGTCATGTAACGTGTCCCTGCACACACAAACCCCAAGGGCCGGCTCACAAGGAGAACGGCTTGTTAGAGGAAAGAAACCGGGAAGCTTCCAGAGAGGGTGTAGGTGTGGCCACCTGTGTGTTTTCACGCTGGTCCAGGTGTGAGGTTTCTTGCTGTCATTCCAGCCCCGCTCCTCCTGTGCAGAGACAAGTAGCAAGTACCCCAGCTGTCTGGCCCCCGCCCGTGGATGCCAGGTGCCAGGCCCTTCAGCAGCTGTCTGCAACTGTTGCATCAGAAGCAGTCTGGATAACTGCTCTCTTCAAATGAGGGGATGGGTGGGGATATAGCACAGGTGCTATTATTATTTACTGGAATGATAAGTAATATTTACTGACGTTTAATCGGGGTTTCTTAGCACGTTTGCTCCCTCTTCCTAGTCAGCCAGTCTGGTCAGGAGAGACTGTTTCTAATTCCAACACACCCTTCACTCAGAGGCCAGCCCTGGGGTATCTGGATGGTGCAGCGAGCAGTGCCAACCGAGGAACCCAGCCAGCACCATGCAGCTCATGGGAGGACCTGCCCTTCCCTTCGCTCTGTCACCACAATGGCCCTCCCAGAGGTCTGACTCCTCCAGCCTGCCCAGTTAGTGCTGGGTCCCCTGGCATACCTGCATTGTGTGCTGGTATTCAGCCGTTAGCACCCACCACCAAGCCCTGATGACAGGCAGGGGGAAGCCCAGCCCCATGGCTTCACAGTATCTCCATTCGGGTTATTTTTAAACAGCTTTTTGCCGTGCCCATGGCTTGAATGATGCAGTGTTTGCAGCCAAGTGTTGGGGTCACAACAGACCACGAGGAAAGGACAGTAACGGCTGTACATTCATTCAGATGTTTGCAAAATGTATATTTGGTTTATTCCCTGGGCCCAATGTTCACACCTGTAACCCTGGCTCGAAAAGACAGTTTTAAGGCAAAACTGTACTTTTTTCTTGAGGTAAGGCCCATGAGGCCCTGCAGAGCCCCACTGTTCTCAGGACGGATCAGGCTGAAGGTCTACGCCAGTGAGGCAAAGCCGGAAGGTGGGAGAGGCTAGGAGAGCCCCACAGCCACAGCCCCCATTTGCACGCATCACACCAGGGACCCAACTCCGACCTGTGGCACCATCTGAGTTGCGTCTCAGATGACTGTCCTGTGATCAGTTCCATTCAGTCAGCGTCCAGGCATAATTTTCTGGCCCTCTGCACACACTCACCCCCCAGCAGAACAGATGCTCACCTGTGGCGATTATTAGGAAGGAAGCACCTCTGAGAGAATGTACCCCAGCAGCCAGCATTCTGGGCTCCATCCCAGCCTCAAAAAGGCCTGGGCCTTCTGGAGCCCGTTCCCCACAGGAGGGAACCAGGACCTCCAGCTTCTCCCGCACCTTCTCCCCTTTCTGCCCAGCAGAGCCTCAAGCCTTGTGTTTACCGGCTGAGAGTGACAGGTGATCTCTTGGTTGGTTCAGGCAACACAGGGCTGGCAGTAACTGTTCCACTTGGCTGGTTGCTTCTTATATTTTCTTCAGCTAAACTTTCCTGAGGGAGTCCAGTGTGTAAGGCCATCATACTGATTACTGCTATTCTCACTCACTCAGAGCAGCTTTCTTGAAATACAATTCACACATCAAAACAATCCATCCTTTTCAAAGTGTGCAGTTCGATGGTTTTTAGTCTGTTAACAGTTGTGAAACTGTCACAACTATCTAATTTTAGGATATTTCCAAAATTTTCTTTTTCCAAAGAAACCCTGTACCTGTTATCTGTCACTCCCCATCCCCATTTCCCCACAGCCTCTGGCAACCAGAAGCACACTTTTTGGCTCTGTGGATTTGCCTGTTCTGGACATGTCATATAAATGCAAGCATATACCAGGTGCTCTTTGATTAACTGGCTTCTTTCACTTAGCACAGTGTTTCCAAGGTTCATCTCTATCATTGCAGGTGTCAGAACTTCATTCCTTTTTACTGCCAAATAATATTCCATTGTATGGATGTGCCACATTTTGTTTATTCATCTGTCAGCTGATGGACATTGGATTATTTCCACTTTGCAGCTGCTATGAGTAATCCTGCTCTGAACGTTCATGCACAAGTTTCTGTGTGAACATGTTTTCAGTTCTCTTGGGTACATACCTAGGAGCGGAATTGCTGGGTCATACAGTAGCTCTACATTTAACAGTTTGAAGAACTCCCAAACGGCTTCCAAAGTGACTGCACCATTTTACAATCCCCTCAGCAATGTGTTCTCTGGATATTCGCAACAGCTTTCTAAGATTGGTGTTAAAATCTACAACTTCAATTAAGGCCACTGAGGCTCAGGAAAGGTAAGAAACTTGGTTATTACTTCCAAATGCCAAGCTCTTCCTTCTGTGACTGGTTGCCAAGTATTAACCCTGTATCCTCAGAGGACAGCTGCACTCTTCACCCTTTCCCTCTATGCCTGCACCACCCTGATGAGAAGTGTTTATGTTACAGGACGTGTCAGGAAATGCTGCGTTTCTGGCCTTCACTCCTTTTGGGTTTGTTGTTCTGCAAGGAAACAAGAGGGTCCACTTTATTAAATGGTGAGTATCTTTATTTCCGAAACAGGCTTTTTACCCCTCACCAGCTGGGGAGGGCTGTGGTTCCCATGTCCTTTGTCTGTGAGTGGGCGAGTTCTGATTCTGAACCCTCTCCTAAGCCTTGCGTCCATAACGGTAACTGGTGAAGGTAGTGGTCTCTTCTAGGGATCCTATTCTTCCAAAGGGGTGTTCCTGAGAGCCATCAGCCTCTCCAGAGAGAGAAAAGGTGTGGAGACTGGGTTTCTGGGTAAGATGAGAGGTCTAGAGCTGGAGTCAGTGTCGGGGAAGCAAAGTTCCCATGAGAAGAGAGTCCTTGGGACTGTCCTCCACTGGGGGCCATAGCATCACAGAGAGGGTCACTCCATACCCTCTCCTAATGAAGGAGGGCTTGTAGTGACCCCTAGCGCAGACAGAAGCGACCCTGTTACTTTGCAAAACGCCCTCCTCGGACCGAGCCCCTCAGTGGGCATTGCCTGAGGGAGCAGATGCCGCTCTGTCTCCCATCCCCTTATGGGACTTAGGGGTCCTTGGCCCCCAGGAGTCACATGCCTCCCTTTGTCCCCCCCCCACCCCACTCCCATCTCCAGCAGGCAGGAGCCCCCGCTGCAGCTGCACGGACCGCTTCCTCCCTGCCTGTCTGCCGGGGCCTGTTCTGCAGCGGGGCTTTGTGAGCTGAAGCCACAGACTCTGGTTTGTTGATGGACATTTGGCTCTCCAAGAGACTCTTTCTTGGGCCCACGCAGACACCTGGCAGCCTCACCAAACCATGCTCCACATTCTCCTTGGCCCCTGCAATCCCCGAACCTCCCTTTAGGCTGCCAGGTCTGAGCTGGTCTGCTCCTCAGGGGCCTGGACAAGCAGCTTTCCTTGGCCCAGCAGGGCTAGCCGGGGAAGCCCACTCCTGGCTCACCCCCTTGGCCTTCTCCAGAAGAGCTGGTGGGAAACCTGAGGACAGAGCTCTCCCTGGCGAGCTTTCTGCCAGGCCAGACACCCCCTTTCCAACCCTCATGACTTTTGTGAAGCTTGGAGACAAAGTCATCATGAGAGTGCTCGTGAAACTGCTCCCCAGACGTGCCTGGTCAGGCCCCGTTCCCCAGAAAACCCCTTCCGAGTGGGCCTGCTGCACTGCCGTAACCAGGGTGCACCCCAACACGCTCATTTGCCCGACCTTCCCAAGTTGGCCCATTCACTGCACTCTCTAGGTGAAGACGGTGAGGGTTTGGGGTCTTCTGTCCAACAGATCTTTTCAGACATTGCGCAGAGTCAGGCACCACTCTCCTCGTTAGGGGTACTTGCCGCATGGAGCCTCTGGGTGGTCTGACGTTCCCAGAGCACCCACATCCTGGCCACACTCCAACCAGGCCAGCTGTCATATGAGGCAGCTGGTAGGGGACATTTTAGCTAAAAACATGGAGGACTCGCCTGTTACCGGGGCCGGTGGTCCCTAAAGGACCCTCACCCTCCAGAAGCCCTACTGCAGCTCTCCAGGCTGCCCCAGACCCTTTTCCTTCTCTGCCTTCTCTCACAGCCCACTTCTTCAGGAAGTCTCTTCATCTCTCTCAACGCCAGAGTAACAGATGTAAACTTAACCTGACTCCCAACAGAAAACTTTCTACTTTTCTACCTTGCTTGTTGAAGCCGAGATGATACATGTGCTTGCTTATCAATCGATTGATAAGTACGGTATTCTGTATGAGAGGTGGATTGCCTGGGAGGGAGCCTCACAGAGAAGGCTCGTATGAGCTCAGAAGTGGTGGTCAGAGGTGTGAGCTTTCATCCTGACCCGGCCGTGGCTTCTAGGGAACAAGTGACCTTCCTCTGTCCCACGAGTTTTGTCCAGAAGTAAACCGGGTACACTGTTCTCACTACCTTTCTGCTACCTTTCTAGGATGTTGAGGAAAGCTCCCTAGAAATCGCAAAGAGGAAGAAGCCAAGTGGAGGCAGAGATGAATGGTCAGACCTCCCTGCGGGGGGAGAGGGTAGAAAAATAAAGACTCTGCCCCAGTGAGCTAGGAGGGGGCCTTCAGGCTCCACAGGGGAGCTGTCAGGCAGGTCAGTGGAAGGGAAGTTGAGGCCTCGGTCGACCCTGAGGCCTAGTCCTCTGGCTCTCAGGGACAACCACCTAAGCTAAGACCCCGGTCCGTTCTTCCACTTTGTAAATGTACCAAGGCTGAGAGCAGGATGTGGAGGTGAGGTCGAAGCCGTGCCATGTACAGTAACCATGTCACTTCTTCTGATTTGTGTCTGTCCTGCGGGCGATGTACCCCAGTATCCTGTTTGCCTCTTTTACTGCAGCCATTCACTGGGCTGGTGGCTTCAAGGATTTTTCTACACAAACCCCTAAGCCCCTTTCCTGGTCAGTACGCTGCATGACTGTTCCATGTAATCTGTCCTCTCTCTGGTATGTTGCCCTGCCCCCTCCCCGAGATCGTCTGACATTTGTCTGCATTAAACTGCATTCTCCATCCAGTGGCACCTGAAAGACTCAACTCCCTCAGAACCCGGTTGCATTGTTTCTCATTATTTGCTGTATCTTGAACTTTGGCCTCATCAGCTACCTGTGGCATCTTACATTTGACAGTCCCATCTAGATAATGCACCTGTGTTATGAACCAAATCCTGAAATGGCCCAGGACCACTCTACCTAGACTCACTGCCCGTGCAGACATTTCCCTTTTACAGCCACTGTTGATGAGCCCGAAATCCTCCTATCACCCTATTATGATAGTGTGATTGACCAGAAAACTGTGGATTGAACTGTTTCAGCAACTGTTCTCTAAGGCCCCTGCGCTGCTGTCTTGTTTCGGTTCTAATTTTGGCTAAAACTGTGTCTGTGCCTGGAGCCCCTTCCAGTCGGGGTGGGCTGTGCATCTACGAGACTTAGCTGTGAACAGGCAGCCCACAGCGAGCTGACAGGCGCTCTCTTTGTGCTTCTAGGAATGAGGTGACCAAGCTGAAATTTGAAGGAAAGACCTTTTATTTATACGTAAGTCAGAAAGAGGTGAGTGATAGTTTCCTTCTCTTCAGGGAGGGCTGGGGCTGAACCAAGGTGGTCCACCAAGGTAGAGCTAAGCCCCCCGCAGGCTAAGTCAGGACCAAGGGCAAGATCCGGAGGTGAGGAATGGAGGTGGCTAGGCCCTGGAGCACAGGGGCTTCGTCAGGGATGCTGATGACCCCTCAGGTTCCATACCTCCAGGAAGTACAAAGTAAGATTCTTTCACTTCCATATGAAAATTCCAGGAAGAGAAATACCCCCCAAAAGAAGAAGAAAATCCCAGATGAGAGTGCCACTTTCCCTGGGGAGGGCTCGCCTGGTTCGCACTAGGCCAGCGGAGACTCACTCTGACGGGACCTGACTGCTGGGCGTGCCCTTGTGCACGGACCTGAGCTCCGTCTGTGGGTGCTGAGGCTTCCCTCCCCACCTGCAGCCGGTCCCTAGGAGCGGTAGGGAACCCTCAGACAGCCCCGGGGTCAGTGTCCTGGCCCACTTCACCCTTCACGTCTCCATCCACACTCAGCTGTTCCTATGTGGGATTTTTTGTAGGAAAAGAAAATTATTCTCACATATTTTGCTCCAACTCCAGAAGCCTGCAAGCACCTCTGGAAATGTGGGATCGAGAACCAAGCCTTCTACAAGTGAGTGAATACCTGGGGTGGGGACTGCCTTGATCAGGGCCAGAGTCAGAGAAGCAACTTTTAGAGCAATGATGGGCAGGAAACCAAGAATCTCTGACAAAGGTGAAGATGAGATGACAAAGCTGGGCTTCCTTATAAAACCCAGAGCCCTTTCCAGGTGACTGGTTGTACCAGCTAAAGGGTCAAAGCTGAGGTCTGGGAAAGTGCCTCAGAAGAGCTGCCCAAGGGGTCTACCTTGTGATGTCCTTGGACAGCCAACCCCCCCCCCCCCCATCCCCCATGGCAGAGCACTTCTGTGTCTTCCAGGGGAAGACTTGGGCCAGAGAAAGCCCATGGGTTCCGACTGTAAGCTAGCCCTGTGGAGCCATTCAGAGGCCTGGGCGGCCCAGAATACAACAGCTCCATGAAGGAGCAGGCACAGCCCAGAACAGTTTCCTAAGTCTTGGAGAGACTCCGGGGCCCATTCCCCCGTGGGTGGCCTGGTGCTGAGCTGGAGTGAGGCCCAGCCCTTCCTGGTATGGTGCTGACAGAGATGTTGCCAGTGACAGGCCAAGTGCCCAGAAGCCCAGCGTTGGGGTAGCTGGAGGGAGCAAGGACTTGTCTGTTACTGAGATACCACCTTTGGGTCAAAGGCAAGAGCACAGCTTACCAAACGATTTTGTAAAGTTATACTGAGGCTTTTGTGCCCAGTTTTAAGAAAGTGGGTATAAAAGCATTAGGAAGCAAAGAAATAGCCCATCAGGAAACCAGGGTGATGCCAGAAAAAGTATGTTTCGCTAAAACTCTTGGTCTTGTTTTTAAAACAGAATGTAATGATTTATCCCTTAATAAGCTGCACCTTGATCAGAACAACAAAGACAGAATGTGTAGTATATTCTTCCTCTGACAGGCCATAGTTCTCCCTGTCAGGGGAAGGGGGCTGGGGGGTGGGGGGTGCGGTCAGGGGGCCCCATCCTCCCCACTCCAAGGACTCTGCTACCTGCTGTGGGATGTCTACCAGGGCCCCAGAGGCTGTTCCTTGGGCAGGCTTTCTGAGCTGTGTAATAACAGCATTTGATACCAGAACTGGGGGGAGGAACTGAATTGGCAGCCTGAACTCTCACCTGAGTAGGCTTCTTTCTTCTCGTGGAGAAGGCACTCGGAAGACTTAGATGTGGTCCCATTTCCCTCCTGTTCAATCCCTGGCTGTCCGAGGGAAGCCCGGAGAACATCTCAGCATTGTTTCTGGAGGCCTGCCTTGGTTTTCCCCCCTGTGTCATGGAAAGAGAACTGAGCTTCTGAACCTTTCATTAATAGATCTCCATACCTTGACAGCACCCACAGTGGAAACCAGGGCTGCTTGCCACTGTTTTCCACTGACTACTAATTAAATATTAGAAGCCTGCATCCTGGGTCAGATCCCCATTTATCCCAAGTCTCTAGCAAGAGCCACTCTGGCCTGACTCTGAACATCTGTCAAGTGCTCAGATCCCTGCCATGCTTCTGGCCTAGGGTTTTACAAGGTGCTGGGTCAGACTCAAGAACGTGCTCAGATAAAAATGTAACTTTATGTATCTGACATGTATTAAATATTTTGAAGCAAAAAAAAAAAAAAAAATGTGCTTAGGCAGGAGGGCAGGTAGGCTCAGAGCCTCATGGAGCCCTGACCCAGGTAGGGATGGTGTCCCGGAAACTGCTGTTCCTGGGTTATAGGGACACCTCCCTAAGTGTCTGCTGACCACTCAGGACAGAGGCTTTGGACCAGATGGGTTCCCAGCTGGGTTAGTACAACACGCACCCAGGGTATGTTGTGGGTGGAGTTGGGCCTCAGGGGACTCAATCTGGGGAGCTCTGCCCAAGCTTCCTTGTCTAAGTGTGAGAGGACTAAAGAGGTCACAGAGGTCACTCAAGAGGATAGACAGGCTGTCCAGAGTCTCCACCTCAACTATCCACAGCCTCGGAAGCAGTGTTAATAGGTACTCTGAGAGAGGGTGAATGGTTCCGAGTTCAAATAAATGGTGGAACTTGTACTAAAGTTCAGCTAGTTTCTTCATTTCAGGACTTTTCAGAGTCTCTAAAGTGATACCAAATCATAGTTTCTCTCCAAGGAGGAGACGGACTAGGAAGGCAGACTCTGCTCTCTTCTCCACCCAGTTACCCAGATATCAACATGAACTCTCGATGCTGGGTCTGGAAGGGACTCCTGAGGTCAAGCAGCCCCAGCTCCACTGTTTTATAGAGAAGACTGGGAGAGGAAAGAGAACCTGCCCAGGGCACGCTGCTAACCAGAGGCCTGGCTGAGATTCAGCGGGTGGCATTCTCTTCCTCGCCCAGGCCCCCGGCCCTCATGTTTATTCTCTCGGTCTCCCTGGAGAGCCCCATCCAGCACTCTTGAGGAGCCCCTACACTCCTGATATGGAAGCAGGTTGCAGCCTGCCCGCCCCCAGCACTGAGGCCGTGAGCGTGGCCCTCGGGGGCTAAAGGAGAGTCGGAGAGAAGCTGGGCTGTGAAGGGCCTTTTCCCAAAGGGTTTCCTCAAGTAGCCTTTGGAAGGAGCTGGGGATGCACTGCCTTAGGCTGTAAGGCCTTGCAGGCCATCTGTCACACTGGACTTTGCCTTGCTGCAGGCTGGAGAAGTCAAGCCAAGTCCGCACAGTGTCCAGCAGCAATTTATTCTTTAAAGGGAGCCGGTTCCGATACAGGTAAATAGTGACAGTAAGTAACCACTACGGACCTATTTTCAGACCCTTCCCTGGAGCACAGTGGCTCAGTGGTCCTTACCCTTGAGAACAGAGATGCTGCGAACCTCCAGAAAAGCCTGTGGTTTCCATCTGGTTCTCCTATCTCCTAACCCTTTGACAAAATTTCCTTCTCTGCAGCTGTCTGCCTATAGGGCTTGACAATATGTATCTTCTCCTCCTGCTCTTACAAAAGCAGCAAAATAAGAACTGTAACAGTGATGCTTCTCATTTTTGTCTAAAGATCTTTTTTGGGGGGGCAATATTTTTGGAACACGCTGGACAATGAGGAATCATTCTTAAATGAGAACGGAAGATCCCAAAGACTCCAGATAGAGAGCTGTCAGGATGCCTTAGGGCTCTTTACCCCCACAAGCAAGCCCTTCTCAGTGACCTGAACATTGGGATGGGGTAGGCCAAACAGGCTACTCCCCAGGGCAGCCAGAGTTCTCTGAGCTCTTAGGAGCGCACCCTGGAACGCTGTCTCACCTCCTGCTGCATGTCTTCTTTTATTACCTACAGTGGCCGAGTTGCAAAGGAAGTCATGGAATCCAGTGCCAAGATCAAGCGGGAGCCGCCAGAAATCCACAGGTGGGCTGCCAGGGAAGGCCATGACGGCTCCCAAAACAGGCGGGAGGCTGAAGAGACCAGTCTCGGCCAAAGGCCTGGGGAACAGGCTGACCCTGGTTCCCTGAGCCCTGATGGAGAATGAGGGTAGGTGGGTGAATGCAGCCAAGACAATACATGGGACCCAGGAGCCACCTTCCCAAGGCAGGTAATTCTCTACGTCATCCCAAGTCCTCAAATTAGTCACAGAGCTCAGAGGACACACCCAGGCAGCAAGATTTCATGGGTTCTGTAAACAATCCATGAAAGGAAGCCAGTCACACTAGGTCTGAAATAGTTTCAGGATCCATGCTTTATGTGTGACTGTAAATCAGGCATGTCCAGGAGTCCATCTCCTAGAACCTGACGAGACCCGGAGAGAAGACGATTGGCTAAGAGGGCTGGGGTTGCCGCCAGCCTGAACTCTGCGAATGGGACAGGTCATTACTCGTGCCTTCACATGGAGCCGCAGCCACCAGCAGCCCCTGTGGGAAGTCAGGGGAGGCTGCAGAATCGGTCTTATGCACCTTTTTAGGAGTGCCGCATACCCTGGGCTCTACCCCCGACAGTCCTGCCTAGGGACTGGTGGCACCGTTGCCACGCTAAAGAAAGGTTCCAGTGGGTCTGGGATGTTAGGAGGTTGACAGGTTTAAAGTAGTGTCTCTGACTGGGATCCGAGGACTAAAGGCAAAAAGCAGGTAATTATGATTTTCAAAAACAAAACACAGCCAGGCAATTCTAGTAACTAGAATACAACTAGTCAACTCTACATCTGTGTGTGCACTGAGTCAAGAGTTTTCTTTTTCTTTAACCTCAGAGCGGGGATGGTCCCCAGCCGCAGCTGTCCCTCCATAACCCACGGCCCAAGGCTGAGCAGCGTCCCCAGAACCCGCAGAAGAGCTGTTCACATCTCCATCATGGAAGGTAAGCCCGAGCTCTGGAGGTGACCCAGGGTCCCTCTACATAGCAGGCTTTCACTTGTGTTCCAGATCTGATACCCGGTCTCTACAGCCTAAAGGATCAAGGTGGGTGAGGCAGTTAACCAGAAAATGAAAACTCTTTTGCATTTTGCCTGGTTCTGAAGCATTCCAGTAGCTGCCACCGTTTGTAGAAATCTGCCTTCTTGATGGAGGCAGGAAGAAAGACAAAGTCTATGTATCTTCACCCAGTAGCTGAGGCTGATACCCCTCCAATCTCTGGGCTGTTAATACCATGAGGAGACTCTAGGACTCTTGCTTTCCAGCTGTGGTCACTGACCCGGGTTGCCCCACAGGCCTGATATAGGTATAAAGTTGAGTGCTTTCCTTTCTGAAAATGACATTTTGTAGGGCCTCAGAAGGTCTCAAGGAACAGGACACAGAATACAACTGCTTCATACCTGTCTCTGTCCTGGAGGCTGGAGAGGGAAGGCCCTCTGCCCTTTCTGTGGGAATGCTGTTTGTTAATGAAAATGGAGAATCGCTTAGGTTAGGAAGGACATTGTTCTGCTGCTCCTCTGGGAGGATCCCTGGCTTGTGCTTAGAATTTAATGATGTGTAAGTGACTGCATCACCCAAGTATGCTACAGAACTACAAATAGGCTAGGGGTTAAGAACCCTGGCCGGGCAACCACCATCAACTGCCTTAATTATGAGAGTATCATAGTGCTCCATTTGTAAAACTCCATGGGATTGTGAAGAAACTGGTGTATGTGCAAGTACTTTATTATTTTATTGTTTTTGGTGGCACCAGACCTTCATTGTTGCGTGTGGGCTTTCTCCAGTTGTGGCAAGTGGGTGCTATTCTTCGCTGCAGTGTTCGAGCTTCTCAGTGTGGTGGTTTCCTGTTGTGAAGCACAGGTTTAGTTGCTCCGAGGCATGTGGGATCTTCCTGGACAAGGGATTGAACCCATGTCCCCTGCGTTGGCAGGCGGATTCTCAAGCACTGGACCACCAGAGAGGTCCTGTGCAAGTACTTTAAAGAGATGAAAGCATTTACTGGGCAACAGCAAGCACAGTGCAAAGAGCCCTGGTCCAGAGAGCAAAGAGGAGGTCAGAATAGGAGCTCTGCCACACATTTTCTGGGGCAGGTTGCTTAACCTCTCTGAGCTTATTGCCCCCACTGCAGAGAGGGGAATGGGTGTCGGCTGGGGGTGGCCTTGTAAACTACCAAGTATAACTGCGATGCGTTGTCATCAGACACTGCCCCCTGGTTTTCCCTCCTATCTTACTCTTCAGTGGAGAACTGAGCCTGGCTCTCTTCTTCTGGGGGTGCATCTTAGCGAAGTGAAATGTCTTCTCATCTTTTGAGGACACCTATCTTCCTCCCCTCTCTGAGGCCCTTCTTGCCATCTGTCTTAAGGCTGAAGCCATCAGGTCCATCCCAGGACTCCTGCAGGAAGTCGGGACAGCTGTCCTCCCAGAGAGAAGGCCACCCCCAGGGAGCTGGCACTAATACAAGTATCACAGAGCAGCCTCGGATATTACTGCTCCCCAGTACAGGGAAGAACATCAAGAAAACCAGCATTCCCAGAAGAGGGAGACTGGGACCATCCAGGTGGGGACAGAAGTCATCGGGAGTAACTGCAAGCAGGGTTAGCAACTCCACAAGGGTGGGAACACTGTCCTCAAGCTTCCCCAAGACGATCGATGGGGCCGCCTCAGCTCCCAGCCAGCCCTGGCTATGCCTTCAGCCTCCTCCCATCATAGCAGCAGTAAGCTCCTCAACATCCAAAAGTCACCTGAGCTTGCAAAATGGCCAAGGACAATGCAGAGGCCACGCGAAAGCTGTGAGAGCAGAGAACCCCCTCTCTCCCCAGGGCCAGGGCCCGGCCTCAGCTCAGCCTCAAAACTTGACACCTGCAGATGACAGCCCAGCAGGCCTCTGTCCCAGTGCTTCTCCCCAAGCCACCCTGCTCCTCACACCCCATGCCCCAGGCTGCCTACAGACAAGCACAGCCTTCATCCCCACCCGGGGCCCATTTAGACTCAGGAGGGAGTAGGCAGCTCAGAACTGCCCCGGCAGGAATAAACTCACAGGCAGAATGAAAGTCAGGATGAGAAGAGGCAGATGGACATCTGCCTTGGAAAAATACAAGACTTCAGCAGTTAAGTGGCTCTTACCAGTGTGTGCGTGCATACTTAGTCGCTTCAGTCATGTCCGACTGTCTGCGACCCTGTGGACCATGGCCTGCCAGGCTCCTCTGTCCGTGGGATTCTCCAGGCGAGAATACTGGAGTGGGTTGCCATTTCCTTCTCCAGGGGATCTTCCTGACCCAGGGATCGAACCCACGTCTCTTATATCTCCTGCATTGGCACCTGGAAAGCCCAGAAAGTAAATGGTTTCTTAAACGTGTAGAAGAGAGGTGTATGCCATGTGCTTGGTCACTCAGTGACGTCTGACTCTCTGCAACCCCATGGACTAGAGCCCAACCCAGGGATCAAACCCATATCTCTTGTGTCTCCTGCACTGGCAGGCAGATTCTTTACCACTGTGCCACCTGGGAAGTACAGGGGTCATGAAGCCTAGTGAAATAAAGAATGGATCATTTCAGGAGGAGAGTGTTCAGCTGCATCATCTCTGAAGGGAGGTTTTGCCTTTAAAGCCCCTAACATGGCTGATCCCCACTGTCCACCCAACCAGGCAGGGAAGGGTAGGAGGGTCGTGATGGGGGCCTTGGAGAAATGGCAAACCATCAAAACTCCCAGGAAGTTATGGACATTTGAAATGGGTTCATGCTCCATCAGGGGTTGTCTTTCCTGCAGTCCACACACCATGTAAATTGTTATCACAGAAACCATTTGCCTTTTCCAGGGGAAAGCTTTGTTTTTCTCGAAAAATGGGGTAAACTGCAAAAATGTTAATGTAACACTATAGTTTGAATGAAATCATGTAATCTCACTGAACTGAGACCTTTAAACAGAAGCCTGGCCCTGCCCTCTGCTCTCAGGGATGCCAAGATAACACGTTAGCACAGGCCTGACCCAGAGAGGACACTCAAGTATGTCCGTTCCCGTCACTCACGGTACCCCCGAGACACCAGTCAGCAACCAGACTGCACAGCGGAGGAGAGGGCCCATTTCCAGCCACAGAGTCACCTCCTCACACCTCACAGCCTCAAACCACAAGGCCCCCTGCCTCTGCGGCTTCACATCCTCGGTTTTCTGGGGCAGTCCCGCTTCCTCTCCCCTCTGGCATCACCCTACCCTCTCAGTCCCTAACCCTCTGAGAGGCCTGGGGCCCTGATAACGGGCCTCAGGGAACCAGCTCTACGGGCTGGGAAAACATTCCTTTTTATGGGTCTAAGTGCTTCTGACTGAATCCAGGGCCCTGATAAGCCTGGCCTCTCAGAGCCGCTCTGCCGTCTCCAGCACGGGAGGCACTGTGAAGGGGCTGCCGTGGCGTGTGACCAGTGGAGAGGCCTTCGTCCCTGGCTGGGTTTCCATCCATGCCCCAGTCCTGTCTCTTCCTGGTGGGTCCCATGAGGAGAGCAGCTAGCCTCTGCTGAAGGCGTGCCTGCCTTCCTGAGCCACCATGGGGAAGAGCCTGATTAGGATCCGCACACGAGTCCCAGCTCAGCTCCGGCTGACCAACCACTGCCTCCGGCCCCTCAGCGTGCGCATCCTGAGGCTGGGGCCCCGGCTCCAGGGGAGGCTCCTCACCGTCGTGCCCCCCAGCCCACTGGGAGCGGACTCCAGGCAAGGCGACCAGCTGGAGCGCCTCCAAGGTAAAAAGACGCCCTCTGTCTTGCTGTGCTGCCCACCCGAGCCATCCCAGAACAGGTATGGGGCGAGTGATGGTTTCTACTGAAACCTGAAGCTCTGTACAGGACCAACCTGGCACAGGAATGATGATTCAAGATCACCTCGCAGGGGGATCTGTGAGTGGGTAGCCATTCCCTTCTCCAGGGGATCTTCCCAACCCAGGGAGCGAACCTGGGTCTCCTGCATTGCAGACGGAATCTTTACCGTCTGAGCCACCAGGGAAGCCTGCTGTTGGGGGAACAGAAGACCAATATTTACTGAATAATTCTGTCTGTCGGGCGCTCTCCTTAGGGAAAAAATGCACGTGTAGCCAGTGTCTTGCTTGCTGAGAGCACCAACTCACGATGAGGTGGCTTCTGTGGCCCTGCTGATTACGCCTTCTCATGCTGTGGCCTTTGCCTCACCTTCCCCAGCAAGCTTAGAGCTGAACTGTAGGCCAAGCTGAGACTGCAGTGAAGTGGCTTCTGGCAGCTAATCTAGTCATATGCTGCAAGGTCTGCCATCAGAGCTGTCCTTGTGAGGTGCAAGGGAGCGGAGGTTCCAGAGAACGGAGAGCCACAAGAGGATTTGAGAAAGGAGCTGAGCCAGCATCCTGTGCAGTCAGGGCCTGAAGAGGTTTGTTTTATCAGGAACCCATTTCACACTCCCAGGTACGTGTTTCTCATGTTACACGTGCAATGGGGGAGGAAGGGAGGAGCAGAGAGCAGAGCAACATCGAAGGCGCTGCAACAAGGGACAGGCTCTTATCTTACTTCATGACAGTTTCTTGGGCAACTTAAATCTAAGGCAGGTGCAGGCTATTCACTTAATTCATCCTGGCCCGCTGTTCCACACCCCGGAATCCAGCTGGATGGTCATTAGCACCATGGAATAGAAAGATGCTAGGACTCTACCGTCGCCTTTGCCAGTAACCACCAACCACATGATTCTGGCAAGTTCTGTAACCTCTTGCCCTCTCTAGTTCATGAAGAATGTTGAAAGATGAAAGTGCTTTGAAATGTTTAAAACATTATATACAGATATAAGAGTTTAGAGCGTAGAGACAAAGGAAATACAGCCAGGACCATGAAGCTTCTGAAAGCAGGAGCTGAAAGCTGTGGCAAATACACTAATGGTGATGTGATGGGGAGCAGAGGCGGAGAATGGGAGGCTGCCATCTCCCCCATCCACTGGTTTGTTCCTCTGGAGAACCTGTAACTGCGCACATGCTGAGATGGGCTGAAGCAGCCTGAGCAGGCAGGTGGCCTGGCTGCAACTGGCTACCCTACAAGAAAGCTAATGAAGATGAGACACACCACTTCTGAAAGGTGACTGGCACCTTTTAAGAGAGACCTTTGGGCTTTTGAAGCTAACCCTGAGCCAGAAAACTCCCTAAGCAGCCCTGGTTAGGTCAGATCTTTACTACCTGGGAATCTGGTTCAGTCTGGGGCAGTCAAGGTCAATTTCAGAGCAACAGAAAGGGACAAGCTTCCCTTGATGTGGACCACAAAGATAGGGAGAGCCACTCCGGCACCACCAGTATGTCCAGGAGTGGGAAATGCAGACACTGAATCTGAAACAAGAAGCCTTTTTCTTGGGAGCACTCTGACGGGGGCCACAGTCGGCCAGTCCGAGTCCATATCCTCAGGCCTGGGTGGCCGCTGTGTGGTTGAGGGAGGTAACCAGTTCCTATTTTTCCCTACCAGAGGGCTCGAGCTCTGGAAAGAGAAATGTTCTAAGAGAATAATGAGCGGTGTTAGGGCCAAAAGACCCTCCTAACAAACGTTTAAGAGAATTTCCCACTGGTCCTCTTCTCAGAGACCACTCTGTACTCCAGGCTGACAGCTCCCATGGTTTTACCTATTCTGGACCCGGTTCAATTGAAGGTGAAAAGAGAGGACAAGCACTTAGGAAGAGCAGGTTGGGTTTTCACCCCACTCAAGGTTAGTACAGCTAAAAGTGGAGGCTGAAGAGACTGAGAGCAACTGCAGAAGTCCAAAAGATGAGCTCACAAGTTCAAGGAGCAGTGTGTTCAGCTGTCAGGAGGACACTCAGCTCCAGAATAGGTAACTGATGAGGCCCCACTGGGCAAAATAGTCTCCTCCTCATTCCTGCCTCTTAAGACCCTCAGAGATCCCTGAACCAAGACCCCAGTTCTGGGTCAGAGATAGTCTGCAATTCTCTTTCAGCTTGGGCTAGAGCCAGGACACCAAAGGCAGGAAAGGCAGAATCAGTAACGAATACAGCCAAAACTATAAACAAAAAGGGGCGGGGGACAACATACAACCAGTGACACTGTGATTCCTGCTGCTTCTCTGGTCCTATTCTTGATACATCAAAACAGAATGCAGGAGCGATAGCGGCTAGCCACGTGGGGCTGCAGAGGGGCTTCCTAAGACTTCAGTGACCAAACAGAATGGGGCTGCCTCCACCAGACAAAGCATGTGCCAGTACACAGAAAGCCTGCTCACTTCCCCTTTGTCTTTCCAGGCCTCGAGTCCCTGCGGGACAGTGCCCACTCCACCCCGGTACGTACCTCCTCCCACGGGGACACTTTCCTGCCTCACGTGAGAAGCAGCCGGGCAGACAGCAACGAGCGAGTCGCCGTGATCGCGGACGAGGCCTACAGCCCGGCGGACAGCGTGCTGCCCACCCCTGTGGCCGAGCACAGCCTGGAGCTCATGCTGCTCTCCCGGCAGATCAACGGGGCGACCTGCATCGAGGAGGAGAAGGAGTCTGAGGCCAGCACCCCCACTGCCGCCGAGCTGGAGGCCCTCGGGGGCGAGCTGAGGGCCCTGTGTCAGGGGCATGGCAGGCCGGAGGAGGAACAGGTGAATAAGTTTGTTTTAAGTGTCCTCCGTTTGCTCCTTGTGACCATGGGACTCCTCTTTGTTTTGCTCCTCCTCCTGATCATCCTTACTGAGTCTGACCTTGACATTGCCTTTTTCCGCGATATCCGCCAGACCCCCGAGTTTGAACAATTCCACTATCAATACTTTTGTCCCCTCAGGCGATGGTTTGCCTGCAAAATCCGCTCAGTGGTGAGCCTGCTCATTGACACCTGAGAAGGCATGAATCCTCCCAATAACTAGCCAGGTGGACCAAGGAGCCCGGCTACCCATTCCCAGCAATGGGACCCATCGCGGAACCATCGGCACATGTACCAAGTCCTCCTCTCATGACTCAAAAAGTCCACAGCCTAGGAGGGTCGTTTCCCAGAAGAAGAAAGGGGATAGGCACACGCCTTGTCTAAACTAACTGGGAAAACTCATTTCCTTCAGAGGTTCTCTCAAGAAAGGCTCAGCAACTCAGTTTCTCATCCTCCCAATTTGCAGGATAATTTTTGGTTCTGATTTTTGATTTTTCATAGATGTGTATTATTTTGAAAATATCAAAAATAATTTATTTTGTTATTACTGATTCTCGCAGTAGTGTCGCCCAGCAGACGGGACACTAGTTGAAGACTAGAGGGCTGGCGTCTTCTGCTTACTGCAGGAGCTTCCCTGCTGGGGGCCCAGCAGACTCATCACTGCAGCCTCAGCAGGGCAGGTCAGGGGCCGGGACAATGGGGACTGTCTAGGTTTTCTTCCCAGACAGAGCTTTTAAAAAAAAAAAAAAGTAAACATCCATGTAGAACGATTAAATGGAAAGTTGCTTCTTATGATGGTCTGAGTTGGATTTTCTTTTCCTTTTCTTTCTTTCAAATCTGAGCAGTGGGCATCTGAAGGGACCACCCCCCACAGCAGCAGGGGTGGGGTAAGTCTGTCCCCTTAGACTAGAGCCTAGTGAGCATCACCATGAGTTCTGTATAATGAACTTAGACTCCGTGACTTTTTTCTAAGGACCTCAAGACTTTTACAGTGCTCCAGAAGCAATAGGTAAATTCAGTGGTGCCAGGAGTAGACAGCACTGTCAGACGTTGGACCAAGCACAGTTAACAGAAATCAGAGCTAAGGCAGCAGAGAGACTGTTGAGATCAGACAGCAGTACTTATTTTGTATACCCCTCTCCCCCCAGAAAAGACTATTTCAATTTAAACAAAATATTATTTTCTTATCAATTCACCTTTTGTTTTTACTTTATGGAGTAAGAAAAATAGAGCCTGATGAACTTAAAGATGCAAGAAAGAAACCAATCCTGAGAATGAAAAGCTTCAGAAAATAAATTCCAAGATCAACCAAACAGCCTTGGAAGGGACCAGGAAAAGAATCTCATTTTTTTTAAACAAGAGTTCCAAGAGATGCCTCCAAAAGAAGGTGAACGTGGCAAAGACCAACACTTAGCTGTAGAAACACTGCCCCCTAGGGTTATCCTCTGCACCAGGAAGATGAAAGCTGTAGGAAAGCACTGGCTCTCTTGGCTGAGAGCCATGGAAGCAGGCAGAAGTGTAAAGGGCGAGTGTGGAGTCTTCGGTCCAAGCTCCGCAACACTTATAGCCGCTCACACAAAAAACTTGTTTTCATCTCAGGGAGAGATTTCCAAGTCATCTGGGGCTGGAGGATGTAGGCAGGACGGTCCGTGGACAGATTCCTGGGGCACGCAGAACAGAATGAGTCACATGCAGGTCTGCTTTGCCCCCGTGTGTTCTCTGAGGTGACAGAACCATATCCATGTACAGAATATCACAGCCATGGAAATAAACAGTTCTTTTTGAAGGTGGGTATTGCAAAATTTCAAATGCCCTTTTATCTAGGCCAAGGGTCAGCAAACTTCTGTAAAGTGCCAGGTAGTAAATATTTTTAAATTTTGGTTTTGAAGGCCATACTCTGTAGCAACTACTCCACTCTGCTGTCTTAGCACAAAAACAGCCACAGGTAATACATAAAGGAGCAAGGCTGTGTTCCAATAGAATTTTTATTTATAAAAACAGACGGTGAGCTGAATTGGGCCCACAGGCCAGAATTTGCCAACCCCGATCTAGACAACAGAACTGTTTCTTACCAGTGTGTAAGCAGGAGGGCCAGTTCTGCTCTGATTCCTGACAGGTAAAGATCCAGGATCATTTCCCAGTAGAGGCGCTGGGCTTGCTTGTTTAAAGGGTGCTCGAACAACCAACCAGCAGAGATGTCTGATGCCATGATGAGCAAGATCAAGAACTGTAATGCTAATATGCAGCCAGAATCAAAGCCTGGAAGAGGGCCTGTCTGATCATTTCCATACCAGCAACAATTTGGGCAGAATTGCAAACATCTGTTTTCCAAGTGACAAGACAAAAACTGAGGGAGATCCTAGTAAAGATTAGGGATCACTCAGAACCAGAGAGCCACTGCCACTTGTCATCTACGCAGGAAAGGCTTTACTAGCAGATCTCTTGAGTGAGAAGTAGACTCAAAGAGGACAAGGCTGTCAGGAGACGGGGGGCTGGTTTTACCCTGGATATCTACTGTCTTATGCAACATAGCAGATTACCTTTTAGTGTAGTGTTCCTACCTCAGTCTGTAGAATATGGTGTTTCTATGCAGTGAGTGATAGCCTCGACTCTGACCTTTCATGTTCACATTAACGAAAGATGCAGTATTCCATATCTTGGTATGTTACTTGTATCTAGAGTTCCAACGGTACAACAGTCCACACCACTTCCAACAGCGGGATTTGCTCTCTGAACAGAAACTTGTGGGCTATTTTTTTCCAGAGCTTATCCTACAAAATACAGATAGAAAAGTCTCCTTCAATTTGCTTTTCACATAATGCTTGAATAACAAACCTCCTCTGTTGGTGACTAGTCTTTTTTGGTATCTCCCCCATCATTAAAAGTTGTTCACGTTTTTTAACCTAGTTTTACTGTGTTCCACTATGTCTATTTTCTCTCAAAATTAGTTTGATCTCATTGTAGAAAAAGCAATGGTTTCCATAGCTTCATCTATCAGAGGAAATAAAACTTTTACTGAAGAATAGTGTACTGCATCTTTAAGCAGTAGAAGGTAAACTACCTGCAAATGTGAATTTCTTAGTTTCATTAAAAAATATATATATAGTTGTTAACCTTTCGTGTGCCAAAAATTCTGTTACATTTTCCTTCAGAGCAATGTACTTTTTTCTACATATGCAGTATGTAGTTAGCATAAAATCACTGGTGCCATGAAAATTATTTTTAAACTTAAATAAATATTTAAATATCATAGAAGAGAGTGGACTCTTTTTTTCTTTCTAACTGACAGCCAGTCTCACTTTCTCCTCCTTTAAGTTAACAGCCCATATATAAAAGGACACCAGTGGGGTTTACACAGCTGACTGCTGTCTGTGACTGGAATTATTCAAAAGAATCACTTTGCTTAGAGTCATCTATTATCCTTATTCCTCCCCCCAGATAAATACTATTAAGAACTTAGGGACATATGTATACCCATGGCTGATTCATATTGAGGTTTGATAGAAAACAAAATTCTGTACCAGCAATTACCCTTCAATTAAAAAATAAATTTTTTTTAAAAAGAACTTATAAGCTTTAAGTGTGGAATGATTTTAAATATGAATTGGACCTCGTTTTTCTGATGAGAAAAAACAAGAAATTATTTTTCCAAGGTTCACAGTCTTAGAGCCCAGAGGAGACCCTAGACAGTCCAACTTCTGAACTCCTATTAAGTCTGGAGTAAGAAAGAGAACAGAAAACACTTCCTATAAAGGGAACAGGATGACCTCACCACTACAGTGACAAACCTTGTACTTACAAGTACTTTCAGCATCCATTCCTTTAACACTATCTCATCTCATATCTGTAACCACTCTATGGCTACAGGCTGGTAATGGTCTTCTAAATTCCATGAGCATAAAAGATGAAACTAAGGTCCACTGTGCTACTTATTATTTAACCTTCTTGTTTTCAATTCTACCTGCCCTCCAACCCTCCATTCTGCCACTAGATCACCTTCTGAAAGCAGTCACCTCCAAATTTTAAGAGATTTCTATTACCTTTAAAATGATATCCAGTATCCTGTCCCCAGTGAAGTTTTTTTTCTAATTGACAAAAATCTTTGCTTAAAGTGAGCTGAAGAGGAAAAAGCATGAGAACCACTGGATAAGAGTGGTTTCCCATGATGCTACAGATTCACAGCTGCCGCCCTTCCTGGATAACTGATGAGGACTGACCTGTGTGCACATTCTTTCAGGGCCCCTGTCCAGACTCCCACTGCTTCGGTTTCCTCAGCCACAACCACGCTGCCACACCTGAACACATTTCTGCTCTTAGCTCCTGAACAGGTTTCCTCTACACACCCCTACCATGTGCTGATGGAGTGAAGTAAAACACCCCAAAGAGACTTATAAAATATTTCCTCGCATAGATTCTGTTTTAGCAAAACATATATTAAGATGTTTTATTTCTCATTCTGGGTAACTGTACTAAATGTTATCTTCCTCACAAAACTCCACCTTTTAATTTGAAAAGTCAAACACAGCCAAATGAACCAGAATTATGGGTCTTTGCTGTCTTATAACTAAAATTCATGATTGGCCATCAGTGAAGTGAAAGTCGCTCAGTCGTGTCCAACTGTTTGCAACCCCATGGACTATACAGTCCATGGAATTCTCTAGGCCAGAATACTGGAGTGGGTAGCCTTTCCCCTCTCCAGGGGATCTTCCCAACCCAGGGATTGAACCCAGGTCTCCTGCATTGCAGGTGGATTCTTTACCAGCTGGGCCACAAGGGAAGCCCAACTCCGTATTAAAAAGGAAAAACAAAACAAGTACTAAATCAGAAGGGACAGCCTAACAAATGAGATGCCTAAGTTTTTGGAATCTGAAGACAGAGGGCATCTATTTTTTCCTCTCAGGTTTGCTACTGAAGGCACTTCTCTGCCCTCCTCCTCTTCCCCTGTACACTGGCTGAAAATATTTAAATCTTTGTATCCACAGCCCTAAAGCTCTCTGCTTTCCTGGAGAAGTGTCTTTGCAAACTCTTCTCTGTGGAAAGGTAACTCAAAAGCCAGAATACTAAAACAGGTCTCAAGCAATTAAGATTCTATCAGTTCCTAATCACTTGCAGTTTCTCTTAGTCTGACCAAGTCTCCACTCACCCCAAATGAGATCATCTCCTTCCTCCTCAATGTCACATTAAGAAAAGAAGTCAGGTATCTCAAAGAAAATACCACCAGTAGAATTCAGAGCTTACATGGTTATGAAATATTATAAAGGCCAACTAACACAAAAGGTTTATCCGGAAAGGAGAGAGTGCAAACATAACATACACATAATTACAGAAGCCACATGGCTTTAAGCAAGTCTCTGGGAAAAGTGCCTTTCACAACAGAATACAGTTTAAGCATGTCCTAAGGGAGACAATTGTCCTTTATGTGCTTTCTAGATTTAAACAATTATTTCATTATAGAGCTTACCATGAAGAAACAAGCCCCCTACTAACTCTCCTTCCTGCACTGCCTCAAGAAGACAAAACTCTTGAATGGATATAAATAGCACAGTTTATGAACCTACAATGGCAAGAGAGACCACAAAAGTGAGAAACATCAAGAATTTTCTAACATTTATAGCAGAAACCAGGCAATTACCATGAAGTATTCAAGGCTTAAATGACAGTACTAATTTGATTAAGAGTAGTTTTCAACATGTTAAGAAAAAGAACAATTCCCACAGAACCAGCCACGACTAGAATCTATAAAATTAACTGGTGTAGAAAAGGGAAAGGGAGCCTAAAGTCTTCATTTAACTATTTCCAGAACACTTTATAACATATCTCAACCTCACATAGGGCTTCCCAGGTGGCGCCAATGCAGGAGACATTAAGAGGTGCGAGTTCTAGTTTGATCCCTGGGTCAGGAAGATCCCCTGGAGGAGAAAATGGCAACCCATTCCAGTATTCTTGCTGAGAGAATCCCATGGACAGAGGAGCCTGGCAGGCTACAGTCCATGGGGTCGCAAAGAGTCTGATAGAACTGAGCATTTAAGCACATGCACCTGTACAACTTCACAGAGCCTTATTTTGTATTTCATAAATTAATATTTCCACCTTGCTTATCAATTCCTGTATTCCAGCACCAAGAAAAGAGAGAAGCCCTATTCCTTATAAATACCCATAACCTTTTAATAAGCTTCAAAACTTATTTAGTCTTTAATTACAGAGAAGGAAATTACTTAAGAAAAACGTTGGAACTTCCCTGGTGGTCCAGTGGTTAAGACACTGCTCGCAATGCAGGGGTCCAGGTCCAATCCCTGGTCAGGGAACTATATCCCACATACTGCAGCTAAAGATCCTGCATACTGCAATGAAGACTGAGGATCCTGCATGCCACAACTAAGATGTGGCCCAGCCAAAGAAAAAAAATGTTATTCAAGGAAATTATATACATCACTTTATTTCTGTGACATACAATTCTGAAGAAATCCTCTTAGAAATCAGGCATATTGCTGAAAGTATTTACAACAGTCTTTCAGTAGTCATTTGGCAATGAAGAACAACAGAAAATGTTGGATAGATAATAACACACAGTAATCTCAGTCGCTGATTTAGTAGTGTCCAACAACAGACACATTCAAGTTGCCACAGCTTCTGAAAACAAATATTTTTAATGAATAAACGCCAGAAATGGTATTCCATAACACTTTACCAGGCTACTAAATCTCCTCTGGAGAGTTTAAAAGACAAGGACACACAAAGCTGGCTGGGACCTTCTAAGGTAGGAGCTCTTCTTTAACCATGACCCACAGAACCATAGTAATAAAGAAATACATTTTACATCATAAAATATATATGCATGTATACCTATAGCTATGTATGCATATGGAACTAAGCTTCACAAAAGAATATTTGTTCTAATTATGTTTGCTATTCTATACTATTCGTCTCCTTTTCATTTAGACACTGGTCATGGTCACTTAACTTACATCAATAGCTACAACCCAGAGTCTGGGAAACAGTGGTGTGAAAGTAATCTCACACTGGGTGACAGGGATTAATATATTTCAACCCTGTGCCTACAAGCCCTGGGACTCACTCGCTGTGTCTCAGGAGCCATGGAGAGGAGGGCAGTGGGGAGAAGGTCAACACAGGAACCCAGGCCCTGCCCAAGTGAACCACAGCTTCTCAGCAATTATCTTGGGATTTCATGTAAGATTTAATTTAGAGGCAAGGGGGGAAAAGCGCTCAGTTTAAAAAATTAAAAGTTTCAAAATCACTCAGATGAGATAACCTTTCAGGATCCCTTCCAGTGTATATAAGTTTAGAAATAAGTATGTATTTCAAACTGTAAAATAAACCACAAATCTATATATGACTATAGAATCAAGGCAACAAAACCAAAACACTGATCACTCAAAGCTTTGTAATTTATAATGAGAATTTCTCAACATTCCGCCTGGTTAAAAGTGCTGAAGGCATCACAGTCACCCCTCCAAAGCCCTTACCATCCTACAGAAACAACCTCCAAGGCCTCCCTCTTCCTAAGAGTACATTCTGTTCATAATTCTTATTTACAAAGCAAGTTTAAATTCACTAAATAGTACATATTACCAAGTAAACAGACTAAGCCACATGAATTACTAGGCTCCTTAGGCAGATTAATTTGAACAAATTGGTGTTTCCAAACCAAAAACTCCACAACTTTCTTAATTCATAAAAACATGTACCCTCCCACTGGAATTACCTCCAGCCAAAATATACTGAGTTGGGTGCATAGCATTGATAGAACACACAGAGGCAAGGCATTCTCCACCCAGAAAAGAGTGCACCCACTTTCCTGTCTCGTGGAAGATTTCCACTCGCCGTGGATGGGCCATGCTGCCAACTATGACACAGTCTTCCTGTTTAGGGTCCCACACAGCTTGGAACCTGGTCAGCCATCGCCCAGTGATGGTGTTGTGCCTAATGAAAAAAACAATTTTTTTGAAAGACAGTAAGTGTTAAATAACTCAAAATAGCATGGGCAGAGGGTAAAGATGGCACTGCTCCTAAATGCTGGTTTTCTCTGCCAAGTTTCAAGTTACTGAGTCATCAACGACCTAATCTTATCCTTCCTACAAAACTGAAACTCTGGAGAGAGATGCTGTCTGCATTTTGAACCTCCAGTGCTGAGTACAGTGGTTTGTGCTCAGTGGATGGTCACTAAACATACTGAAATGGCACCTTTTTTGTTCACTGTTTCCTAACTCAATGCACTCCCCTCCTTTTTTTTTTAGCACATGCAAATACAAGACCTAGAATAAAGAAATATACAATCTAAGTTATTGCTGTTTAACAGAATCTATTTCCCATATTTGTATTCCCCTAATAACCAAACCCTGAAATCATTTTATAGTCTATACAACCTTAAGGTAAAACGTACTTTGGGGGCTCAAAGAAAAAAATCACAAGGGAAATTAGAAGATATCTGTACACAAATAAAAATGAAAACACAACTACCAAAATCTATGGGAGCTATGAAAGCAATACTAAGAGGGAAATTTTTAACAGTAAACATTAAAAAAGAAGAAAGATCTCAAAATCAACACTCTAACTACATCTCAAGGAACTGGAAAAAGAAGAATAATCAAAACCAAAAGTTAGCAGAAGGAAGGAAATAATAAAGATTAGAGATAAAAGAATTAGAGAATACAACAAAAACAATAGAAAAAATAAACTAATAGTTGGTTTTTTTAAGAAAAAAAAACTGGCAAGCTAGACTAAGAAAATAGGAAGTGCAAACAACTAAGATAAGAAATGAAAGTGGGTCATTACAACTTACGTTACAGAAATAAAAAGCATTATAATACTATGAACAATCATACACCAATAAACTGGACAATCCAGAAGAAATTAATACATTCCCAAACACATAAAACTTACCAAGACTAAATCATGAAGAAATAGAAAATCTAACTAGAACTATAGGGGATTAAAACAATAACCAAAAACTTCCCATCAAAGGAAGCCCAGGACCAGATGGCTTCGCTAAAGATTTCTATGTAACATTTAAGTAAGAATCAACACCACATGCTCCTCAAACTCTTCCAAAAGACTGAAGAGGAAGGAACAATCTGAATTATGAGGCAAACACTTCTAATACCAAAGCCAGACAAAGACCCTACTGGGAGAAAAAAAAAAAAGCCCTACAGACGAATATTCCTGATGAATATTGGTGTAAAGTTCTCAACAAAACACCAGCAAAAAAATTCATACAGCACATTAAAAGGGTTATACACCATGATTAAGTTTAATTTATACCTGGAATGCAAGGAAGGTTCAAAACAAAACCCAATTAATTGACATACCACACAAACAGAAAGAAGGACAAAAATCCTAAGATCCTCTCAACTGGTACTGAAAACCATCTGACAAAATTCAGTACCCTTTCATGATAAACACTCAACAAACTAGGAACAGACAGAAACTATTTCAACCTAATAAAATATGGGTCATATGTTAAAGGCGCACAGCTAACATTATACTCAATGACGAAAGACTGAAAGCTTTTCCTGTAAGATCTGGTAAAAGGCAAGGATGCCTTTCCTGCCATCTATTCAACATATTTAACACTAGAAATTCGGTAGAACTAGAAAACTGGGTAGAATTAAAAGACTACACACACACACACACACACACACACACAAAGTTAAAACTAAATCTCAGCAAATTTGCAGGATACAATCAACACACAAAAATCAGTTGCATTTCTACACACTAACAATGACCAATACAGAAAAGAAAACAACTCCAGGACTTCCCTGGTGGTCCAGTGGTTAAGAATCCACCTGCCAATGCAAGGGACATGGGCTCAACTCCTGGTCTGGGAGATTCCACATGCCATGGGGCAACAAAGAATGTGCACCGCAGCTACTGAACTTGTGCTCTAGAATCCATGCTCCTCAACAAGAGAAGCTACCACAATAAGAAGCCCATGTACCATAGCCCCTGCTCGCCACAACTGGAGAAAGCCTGCACACAGCAACAAAAATCCAGCATGGTCAAAAATAAATAAATATATTTCTTTAAATCCCATTTGTAATAACATCAACAAGAATAAAATATTTTGGAATAAATTTAACCAAAGATGTGAAAGATTTGTACACTGAAAACTACAAAGCATTACTAAAACAAATAAAGTAAAGTGAAGTTGCTCAGTCGTGTCCGACTCTTTGCTATCCCGTGGACTGTAGCCCGCCAGGCTCCTCTGTCCATGGGATTCTCTAGGCAAGAATACTGGAGTGGGTTGCCATTTCCTTCTCCAGGGGATCTTCCCGACCCAGGGATCGAACCCGGGTATCCTACATTGTAGGCAGATGCTTTATCCTCTGAGCCACCAGGGAAGCCACAAACAAATAAAAGACAAATAAATGGCAAGACACAAATAAGATACAAACAGAGACACAAATAAACTGTCTGTGGATTAGAAGACTCAATATTGTTAAAATGTCTGTACTACCCAAAGTGATTTATAGAATTCAACCAATGCAATCAATCCCAAGGGCATGTTTTACAGAAATAGAAAAAAAAAAATCCTAAAATTAATATGAAAGCTCAAGGGATTACAAATAGCCAAAATAATCTTTAAAAGAACAACAAAGTTGGGGGCCTCATATATCCTGATTTCAAAAAATATACTACACAAAGCAACAGAAACCATGACAGCATGGAATTGGTATAAAGACAGATACTATGGACCAGTGGGACGGAACAGAGAGCCCATAAGGAAACTCTCACGTTCCTGGTCAAATGATACTTAACAAGGGTGCCAAGACCACAAAATGGGGAAAGGAGAATCCCTTCAAAAATGCTGCTGGCAAAACCAGATATCCACACGCAAAAGAATAATAATGGACAGTAACCCTGATGGATCAGTGGTGAAGAATCTGCCTGCAATGTAGGAGGTGGGGATTTGATCCCTGGGTCAGGAAGATCCCCTGGAGGAGAAAATGGCAACCCACTCCAGTATTCTTGCCTGAAAAATCCCATGGACAGAGAATCCTGGTGGGCTACAGTCCATGGGGTCACAAGAGTTATAGATGACGTAGTGACTAAACCACCATAACCTTATACTATATACTAAAATCAACTCAAAGTTGATTTAAGACCTATACCTAAGACTTGGAACTCTTAATAAAACACAGAAGAAAACACAGGGGAAAGTTTCAGTACACTGGATTTAGCAATGATTTTTTGGATATGACACCAAAAGTACAGGCAACAAAAGCAAAAGTAGACAAATCTACATCATACTTATAAACTGTGCAAAGGAAACAATCAACAGACTGAAAAAGCAACCCCCAAAATGGTAGAAAATATTTGAGAATCATATATTTGATAAGGGACCGATATGCAGAATATGTAAGGAATTCCTATAACTCAACAACAAAAATGATATAATTCAAAAGTAAGAAAAAAAAAATAAGCAAAAGACCTAAATAGACAATTTTCCAAAGAAGACAGACAAATGGTCAATAAGCATATGAAAAGGTATTTATCATCACTAATCATTAGAGAAATGCAAATCAGAATCACAATGATATATTACCTCACAATCATCAGGATAAGTATTGATAAAGAGAAATTAGAACCCTAGTGCACTCCTGGAATGTAAAATGGTTTGGCACCTATGGAAAAACAGTATAGACGTTCCTCAAAAAATTGAAAATAGAATTATCAGATGATCCATTAAAATCTCTTTTCTGGGTATTATCCAGAAGAATTCAAAGTAGGATCTTGAAAAGATACCTTTACACCCATTTGTCCACTGTAGCATTGTTCACAATAGCCAAGGGGTAGAAACAACCCAAATGTCCATCAACAGGTGAATGGATAAAAAAAATATGGCATACACGTGCAATGGAGTTATTATGCAGCCTTTAAAAAGGGAGGAGAAAAAAAAAAAGGAGGAGATCCTGTTACATGCTAGAACATGGATGAACATCGAGGACATTATGCTAAGTGAAATCAATCACCAAAAAAATATACTATATGATTTCACTCATATGAAATATCTAAAGTAGTAAAAATCATAGAAACGCAAACTAGGCAGATGTCTGCCACAATCTGGAAAAGAGGGAGAGAGGAATTAATGTCTCATGGGCCAGGTTCAGTTTTGCAAGATAAAAAAATTCTAGAACTCTGTTGCACAACAACATGATCATACCTAATGCTAATGAACTATATACATACAAATAGTTAAGGTGGCTGACTTACTGTTGCATGTTTATAATCACAACTAAAAATAAGGTAAAAAACAATTTAAATATATGTGGGGCTCTTCACTGCTCTCCAAAGCAAAAAACAAAGCACTGCCCTCTTATTCTCTACATCGCAACACCAACAGCCCTTTCTTATTAAAGAAGGATGAACAATGGAGAACCACATTTCCCACTGCCATTCAATGACCTTATCTCTACTGACCCCAGAATCATCACCCTAATTTTTTTAAAATACACACTAGAAGTCAATAAACTAGAGTTAATAAAGTTTGAAAAAGGAAACGAAGAGGGGAAATTCTATGAAAAAGAAAATAAGCATATTAAATATAGCCTCTGCTGTTGCTGCTGCTAAGTCATTTCAGTTGTGTCTGACTCTGTGTGACCTCATAGACGGCAGCCCACCAGGCTACGCCATCCCTGGGATTCCCCAGGCAAGAACACTGGAGTGGGTTGCCATTTCCTTCTCCAATGCATGAAAGTGGAAAGTGAAAAGTGAAAGTGAAGTCTCTCAGTCATGTCCGACTCTGCGACCCCATGGACCGCACCCTACCCAGCTCCTCCATCCATGGGATTTTCCAGGCAAGAGTACTGGAGTGGGCTGCCACTGCTGTCTCCATATATAGCCTCTATAGACTATAAAACTCATGAAACAACAGTTAACATATATTGCATACCCTGTCCCCAACTTTATAAATGCTGATAAAGAAGTATGTGTAGGAAGTAGACATTGAGTAAAGTTTGATGTACAACACATATATTAAAAGTAGCAGATGCAAAAAGAGGATAACCAAACAAAGAAATAGGAAGATGGGGAAGCTAAGCCCAGAAAAAACAGGTGCAAATAAACAGTGCTTCAGCTAGCCTCACAAGCAAGTTAGTCTCAATACAATAACATGAGTAATTCAGTTTTTGAATAAAGTCATTCACTTTAACCAAAAATAACCACTTGGAGGCAGAGAATAGCTACAGACTAAAAGAGACAGAACCTCTTTGTAGACACAGGCAACCTGGAAGCAAGAACCCTTCCGGATGGGATAGGAACAAGTAACCAGAAACACTATAATATAAAATCAGACCTATACATCTCTCTGATAAATAGATGTCTAATGTATGCAGTCCAACAAAGAGCTCATAGTAATCCAGGGTCCACATTATTTGGCATATGGAAACTGACCTGATAGTGGTGATAAGAGGAATCTTCGAGGATATACAACTGCTGTCAAAGATTCTGCAAAATAAACAGCAAGAATAAAGAAGCACAGTCTTTTTATTGTTTCTTGAGATTTTCCTGAAATATCATCAGGGTATTTAACAAGCTTTTCATTGGTTCATGATATAAAATGGTTGTTGTTTTAAATATATAGGATCAGGCTCTAACAAACCTCAGCTAGCTAATACATTTATAAAAGTGACAAAGAATATCGTAGAATTCAGTGCTTAGAGTTTAATGTGTAAACTATTTAAACACTATTATTCCAAACTTAAATGTACATTCTACGGTGATAATCCAGACTCTATAATCAGATCCACAGTAATATAGGTCACAGATAATGGAGGTCATCTGAAAATGTACAAATAACCTAGAAGTGCAGGCATGTATCAAGAGCAATTTCCCCATGAGACTTATCAGTTGAGGGCGTCATATTGTCACTTCCAGGCTCTGGCAAGACTAACTGGCCAGTAACTAAGGGGAGGGACTCGTGGGGCAACTGGAGGAGCTCAGAAGCCTCCACGAGGCACCCTGGCAGAAAGTAGCCACGTCATCACCACCTCGCCCTTCTCCTTGTGCCTAGCTATCCCACTGCCATTTCTTGGCACTAGAACTTAGTAACTAATTAGATTACCAGAAAGCCAAACCACAAGAGTAAAGTCTGCAGCGCAAATGAACAGGAATGAGACAAGTAAGTGGCCCTTAAGACAAAGAAAATGGCATGGGTGGAAAGGGGACACTGGGCTGACACTGCCCAGTGATTAAATCTCTTAATGTACTGCCTGGTAATGCTCACAGACTTTACTAGGAATTAACAGGGCTCCTGTTACACACTATAAACCACGTTCTTCCCAATATATGGGTCTAAACAGAAATTAGGTGATTTTCTAGAGCCCAGCCAACAGTATACATTCAACAGACACTTGTTGAGTGAATAATGAACACATTCCAAATTCACTTAAGGTAAAAGTCTCATAAATTGAGAATTGCTTGCAATGTTAAGCAAAATTGGGGATTTTAGAAGAGAACAAAATTATGTCCTTCATGGTTGCATTAACATTCTCCATATTTTTAAAAATTGGCATTATTTTCTATTTTTGTTCAACTGGTTTATATTACATTTTAAAATCCATTTTTAGGTAGTAGCTATAGAAAGGTACCAAAGCTAAAACCATAAAATTTTATCCAATAGTTTGTATAGAAACCCAGTTTTTGCTATCTCTTCTGCCTGCCCATGGCCAAGGGCTCTGCAACTTCAGTTCAGCACTTGACTTGTGGGAGGGATCCCACTATCCCCAGAGTAAGAGCTTCTTCCTACGCTAAAATTATCTTCTATCCAAGATATCACACAGAAAAGCTTCCCTGGTAGCTCAGTTGGTAGAGAATCCGCCTACAATGCGGGAGACCTGGGTTCGATCCCTGGGTTGGGAAGACCCCCCGAAAGGCTACCCACTCCAGTGTTGTGGCCTGGAGAACCCCATGGGCAGAGGAGCCTGACAGGTTACAATCCGTGGGGTCACAGAGCTGGACCCGACTGAGTGCCTGTCACACAAGCTATCACAAGCCTGATTTCATTAGATTTCAGTGCTAAAAGGGAACCTTGACACCATTCCCCAGGCTAGTTACAGACCTTCCTTGCCAATCTCAAGGAAATTTACAGATTCCAAAACTGCTGAAATGCCATTAAGTACAGGTCGTTGATCTTTGGGAACCTAGATGTGGCTACAAAACAATTAACACTAGTGATGTAAATCAGGAGTAATAGTAAACAAAGCTACTGGTTAACTAAGTAATTACAGACTCTTAACGACGTATTTCCGTCTTCCCAATTTACCTCAGCTTACAGTCAGCACATGTGGTTACTACTCTGTTACCAGTAAGAGGTGAAAAATAGGCTGAAGCGATGCTCTTTGTGTGTTCAGTTAAAGAAATCAGAGGCTGGTTTCTACTGGGATTCAGGCATCTTACATCATAAATATGAATATCCCTGTAACAGGAGGAATAATTCTCAGTGTTATCATAGTACACGGAGTAAGCCTCTACAACAGCACGGAACATTAATTAGACACTCAAATACACACTACATTGAAGAACAGTTAAGACAGGCCGCTCTAATCTTCGGTATTAATTTTAAAACATGGGTATAGATTAAAAATTATTAGAAAAATTCCAAAATTATAGCATATATATGTAACCAGGTGGGTATAGAGACAAGATTCTAGCTGGTTTTCTCATCTCTTCAAGAAAAAAGTTAACACAGACTAAGAAATTGTAGGTCCCATTTAACTTGTATTTTTTACATATTTTCTTCTCAAAAGACTGAAGTAAATGCACAAGACCAAGGAAAACAAAAATGTATATTTGTTTCAATATTTTTCACTATGTATTAAATCTCATTTTAAAGAATCACAAAAAAACTCAAAAAAAAAAATACCCTCAAATTAGCATAGACAGGAAAATTATTTGGTCTGTGGGTATCACAAAAAAGTCTTTTGTCAATCAAACTAAAACATTATTCCTAATGTTAAAAGATCTATATCATAAAATTTTATGAAGAACATACCTTAATCCCGCAGTGATAAAATACTGTCTATGCACTGGGTGCACATGAACAGTTCTTATTTTGCTCAAAGAAGATTTGATGAGTTTCTCACAAGAAGTTCCAGGAGTTCGCCTATCCACTAGTGACATACGTCCATCCCAGTGACCTACTATTAAAGTGGAGGCATCTTCTGTCAAGAAGTCAAAGGAGGAAAAGCTTCTTCTTTCATCTCTATATACCTAAGGATATAAGGAACAATCAACTTAAGTAACAATCCTCTTTTTAAAAAAGCCAATGCATGGATTCTTTGTTAAAAAAGCAACAAAACACTTTATCCCAAATACCTCATTTATCCTCCCAACATCCCCACAGGAAGCACAGGACAAAATGGTCATCTTCTTTGGCAGAAATGGAATCAAAGGCACTGATCAACTCTAAGACTTGCCTGCAATCAAACAGCCCATCCACCCATGTTGGGGCTACACCCCAAATCTCTTAAATCCAATAAAACTCAGTTGCAGATCTACCCTGAAACTTACTAGGAAATGGACTGAATTTGATTTCTACTCAATTGAAGTACAAATTGAAACTCAAAAGATATATGCACCCCAATGCTCACAATAGCACTATTTACAACAGCCAAGACATGGAAGCAACCTAAATGGTGCAGCCACAGTGGAGTGGATAAAGAACATGTGGTACATACATACAATGGAATATTCAGTTTCAGTGAAAGTCACTCAGTCATGTCTGACTCTCTGTGACCCCATGGGCTATACAGTCCATGAAATTCTCCAGGCCAGAATACTGGAGTGGGTAGCCATTCCCTTATCCAGGGGTTCTTCCCAACCCAGGGATCGAACCTAGGTCTCCTGCACTGCAGGCAGTCTTTACCATCTAGGCCACCAGAACACCCTGATGGAATATTAGTCAGCCACAAGAAAGAACAAACCAATGCTACTTGCAGCAACATGGATGGACCTAGAGATTGCCATTCTGAGTGAAGTGAATCAGATACAGACAAATATCATATATTGCTTACATGTGGGACCTAAAAAATGGGTACAAATGAACTTTTTTACAAAACAGAAGTAGAGTCATGAATGTAGAAAATAAACTTGTGTTTATCAGGAGATGGAAGAGATGGATAAACTGGGATTGACATATACACACTAATATATATAAAATAGATAACTATAAGAACCTGCTATATAGCACAGAGAACTGTACTCAATTCTCTGTAAAGGTCTATATGGGAAAAGAATCTAAAAAAAAAAAAAGTGGATAATATGTATATGTGTAACTGATTCACTGTGCTATACACCTGAAAAATAACACTGTAAATCCACTATGCTCCAATAAAAATTTTTTAAAAAATTATATGGGCAGTGGTAACATCAGTGGTTTCCAGGGGCTTTGGGAAAGAGGAGAGGACTAACTGCAGAGGATCATGAGGTAATTTTTCAGGTGATGGAAATTTTCTGTATCTTGACTGCAGTGGTGGTTACATTAGTTTGCCAAAATTCATAAAACTGCATGCCTAAAATAGGTAAGTTTTACAGTATGTATTGTATACCTCAATAAACCTGACTTTTAAAAAAATAAGTTGAGAACTTTGACAACTCAATACTAAAAACACAGATAACCCAATTAAAAACAGGCAAAAGATCCAAATAGACATTTCTTTAAATAATTACAGTAATTCCTAATAAGCAAATCTCCATCGTGAACAGCAGCCTTGTCGTGGTGAAGGGGCTTGTTTAACTCAATGAAGCTGTGAGTCATGCTGTGCGGGGCCACCCCAGACAGACAGGTCACACTGGAGAGTTCTGACAAAACATGGTCCGCCGGAGAAGGAAATGGCAACCCACTCCAGTACTCTTGTCAGGAGAACCTCATGAACAGTAATAAAGGCAAAAAAATAGAACACCGGAAGACGGACACCACCCCCCTCCAAATCAGAAAGGGTCCAACATGCTATGAGGGAAGAGCAGAGAGCAATTACTAACAGCTCCAAAAAGAATGAAGTGGATGGGCCAAAGCAGAAACGATGCTCAGTTTTGGATGTGTTTGGTGGTGAAAGTAAAGTCCAACATTGCAAAGAACAGTACTGCATAGGAACCTGGAATGCTAGGTAATGAATCAAGGTAAATTGGACACGCTAAAGCAGGAGATGGCAAGATTGATCTACAGATCGAGAAGCCCCAAAATGATGTTATTTACCCTTGACACCATTTTACTAGACCAACAAAGCTCAACCACAAACCAGGAGCCTAAAGCTTTAACTACTGACACCTCTGCCTCAGCTTCAAGGCATCTAACAGCTGTCTGTTGACGGAATCAAGCCTGCACATGGGTTTGGTTTGGCTCACTATTTTTTTTTTCCCCTTCTTAATTTCTTTTTACAGTTTTACTGAGATGTAGTATTTCCTATACCATAAACTTCACTCTCACCATGTTCTTTAAACTATGACTTAGTTCACAACACTGACATACTAGAATTTTTTTTTTTTAAATCTTAGGATAACTTAGGAGTCAGTGAACTAAAATGGACAGGAATGGGCAAATTTAATCCAGATGACCATTGTTCCTACTACTGTGGGCAAGAATTCCTTACAAGAAAAGAAGTAGTCCTCATAATCAACAAAAGAGTCTGAAATGTAGTACTTGGGTACGATCTCAAAAATGAAAGAATAATCTTGGTTCATTTCCAAGGCAAGCCATTCAGCATCACAATAATCCAAGTCTATGCCCCAACCACTTATGCCAAAGAAGCTAAACAGTTCTATGAAAACCTACAAAGACTTGTAGATTTGACACCCCCCAAAAAAAAGTCCTTTTCATCATAGAGGACTGGAATGCAAAAGTAGGAAGTCAAGAGATACCTGGAGTAACAGGATAGTTTGGTCTTCGAGTGCAAAATGAAGCAGTGCAAGGCTAATAGTTTTGCCAAGAGAATGCACTGATCACAGCAAACACCCTCTTCCCACAACATAAGAGACCACTCTACACATGGACATCACCAGATAGTCAATGTTGAAATCAGACTGATTATATTTTTTGCAGACAAAGATAGAGAAACTCTATATAGTCAGCAAAAACAAGACCTGGAACTGACTGTGGCTCAGATCATCAGTTCCTTATAGCAAAATTCATACTTAACTTGAAGAAAGTAGGGAAAACCACTAGACCATTCAGGTGTGACCTAAATAAATCCCGTATGATGATACAGGGGAAGTGAAGAATGGATTCAAGGTATTCCATCTGGCAGACAGAGTGCCATAGTCCTTCAAACTATGGACAGAGGTTTGTAACACTGTACAGGAGGCACTGACCAAAACCATCCAGAAGAAAAAGAAATGCAAAAAGGCAAAATCGTTGTCTGAGGCGGCTTTACATACAGCTGAGGAAAGAAGAGAAGTGAAAAGTAAGGGAGAAAGGGAAAGATATACCCAACTGAATGCAGAGTTCCAGAGAACAACAAGGAGAGATAAAAAGGCCTTTTTAAATGAACAATGCAAAAAAGTAAAGGAAATCAACAGAATGGGAAAGGCTAAAGATCTCTTCAAGAAAACTGAAGATATCAAAGGAACATTTCATTCAAGGATGGGCACAATAAAGGACAGAAGCAATATGGACCTAATGGAAGCAGAAGAGATTAAGAACAGGTGATAAGACTACACAGAAGAACTATACAAAAAAAAATGTTGTACCGACCCAGGTAGCCAAAATGGTACAGTTACTCACTTAGAGCCAGACACCCTAGTATGTGAAGTCAAGCGGGCCTTAGGAAGCATTACTTACAAACAAGCTAGTGGAGGTGATGGAATTCCAGCTGAGCTATTTAAAATCCAAATGATGCTGTTAAAGTGATGTACTCAATATGTCAGCAAATTTGGAAAATATTGTCAGCAGTGACCACAGGACTGGAAAAGGTTAGTTTTCATTCCAATCCCAAAGAAGGGCAATGAGAAAGAATGTTCAGACTACTGTAAAACTGCACTCATTTCACATACTAGTAAATTTATACTCAAAATCCTTCAAGCTAGGCTTCGGCAGTATATGAATAGAGAACTTTCCGATGTACAAGCTGGGTTTAGAAAGGGCAGAGGAACCAGAGATCAAATTGCCAACATTCATTGGATCATAGAGAAAGCAAGGGAATTCCAGAAAAACAACTACTTCTGTTTCACTGACTACACTAAAGTCTTTGTTTGGATCACAACAAACTATGGAAAATTCTTTTTTTTTTTTTCATTTATTCATATTAGTTGGAGGCTAATTACTTTTCAATATTGTAGTGGTTTTTGCCATACATTGATATAAGAGATGGTTTCTCTCCTGAGAAACCTGTATGCGGGTCAAGAAGCAACAGTAAGAACCAGTAAGAACAGTAAGAACCAGTCATGGAACAACCTCAGATATGCAGATAATATCACTCTAATGGCAGAAAGTAAAAAGGAACTAAAGAGCCTCTTGATGAGGCTGAAAGAAGAGAGTGGAAAAAGCTGGCCTGAAACCCAACATTCAAAACTCTAAGATCATGGCATCCAGTCCTATCACTTCATGGCAAGGAGAAGGGGAAGAAGTGGGAAGTAGTGACAGATTTTATTTACTTGGCCCCCAAAATCACTGTAGACGATGACAGTGGCCATGAATTTAAATGACGCTTGCTCCTTGGAAGGAAAGCTATGACAAACCTAGACAGCACATGAAAAAGCAGACAGACATCACTTTGCCGACAAGATCTGTATAGTCAAAGATATGGTTTTTCCAGTAATCATGTACAAATGTGAGAGCTGGACCATAAAGAAGGCTGAGTACTGAAGAACTGATGCTTTCAAACTGTGGTACTGGAGAAGACTTTTGGGAATCCCTTAGACTACAAGGAGATCAAACCAGTCCATCCTAAAGGAAATCAACCCTGTATATATTCATTGGAAGGACTGATGCTGAAGCTCCAGTACTTTGGCCACCTGATGTGAAGAATGGACTCACTGGAAAAGACCCTGATGCTAGGAAAGATCAAAGGCAGGAGGAGAAGGGGACGACAGAGGATGAGATGGTTGGATGGCATCACTGACTTGATGGACATGAGTTTGAGTAAGTTCCAGGAGTTGGTGATGGACAGGGAAGCCTGGCGTGCTGCAGTCCATGGGGTCACAAAGAGTTGGACACAACCGAGCAACTGAATTGAACTATTACTCACTTAATACCATTGTATCGTGATTGATCAACAGAAAAATAATAGAATTCTCTATCACAAAGGCTACCATTTAATAGAAAAACCTATAATCACATTTTAAAATCAAGATGCATATCAGAATTACAAATGCCTAGGTATTGCTTTTTTGTCCAAAGCTCCAGATATGTTTCTAATGAGCAGCCATGTTTAAATCCAACTGGACTATATGATGATCTTTCACTTTCATCTAGTTTGTTTCACTTTTTCTATTTCATACTCAGTGCTCCATTTCATTCAGTTTAGGTTTTCCAATTTCTCCACCTTTTTTTTCTTTTGTTCTCTCTCAAGCCTTTATCAAGCATAGCACAAAAACTTTTGTATACATATATATATGTTATATGTATTTTAGAAAACTTATGAATTTTCACCTAAGTAAAAAATTTATGACATTTTGATTCCACTTGTTTGACTTAGTATGAAGAGAATGCTAGATTTCTAATTTAAAAAAAATAGATGCAACAAGTAACAAAGGTTTACTGTATAGCACAGGGACCTATAATCAATATTTTTTAATAACCTATAGTGGAAAATAATCTGAAAAATAATATGTATATATGTATAACTGAATCACCTTGCTGTGCACCTGAGACACTGTAAGTCAACTATGCTTCAACAAATATATGTATTAAGAGAAACTGCTATAAGTAATTATGAATAATCTGTACACAGAACATTAAAATAATGACAAATACATCAGAATGTGTTAATTTTGAGTACCGGTTTACATAAAAAAATTAAGGCATACATAAAATTAGATCATTAGTATTTATGATGATAAATCATAACAGTGGTGATACTGTGTTTTCTTCACTGTTTATCACATACAAAATTGCCCTAATACTGAGGATGTCTAAAAACCTCAAAAGTTCCATTCAAAATAAGTTAAAGGGTGAAAACCTACATCTAAACCATGCTAAATTTCACAAAGATTAAAATTCACATTGAAAAAGGATTTAATTTATAAGAATTCTCTTAATGAGGAAATCTAATATGGTTAATAAGCAAATGTGAAAGCTCACTTGAAATGACATGTTTGTTGTAAGCATTAAGTAGTAGATATTTAAGTAGGAGACCAAATGTAATCACTGGGATCAAATATTGTGAGGATTCCTCAGGCCTTTGGAAGCTTCTGGCCCACCCAACCAGAGGTCAAATGGATTAGAAAACCTTCAAGGGGTAAAGTCTGTTTATCTTGGTAGAGTATCTCTAGGCGGATGGATAGTCACAAGTATGAGCCTACCATCTTTCAACTATTCTTTTTTTTTTTTTCCATTTATTTTTATTAGTTGGAGGCTAATTACTTTACAACACTGCAGTGGTTTTTGTCATACATTGAAATGAATTAGCCATGGATTTACATGTATTCCCCATCCCGGTCCCCCCTCCCACCTCCCTCTCCACCCGATCCCTCTGGGTCTTCCCAGTGCACCAGGCC